CCCCCCCCTCCCCCCCAGCCTCGTCCACAGGAGCTTTGAAGGGAACCGAGCGCAGAAGGCGCGAGCAATGTAGGGGGGTCCGGGGGAAATTTTGCATTTTTAAAACTTCAATAACGCATTTTCAGGCAATTTAAGAGGCAAAGTGAGGTTTGACTACTAGTAACGTTACGCGTAACGAAGAATTATTCAGTAACGCTGAATTTAGGATGACAAATAACGCGCTACGTAGAATTAAAAGGACCAAAAACGCTTCACGAGGAATATTATCGATAACGCTTAAAGAGCGGGTCGGCAACGATTAACGGTGAATCAAAATTGCCTATAAAGGTCAACGAAAAGGGGCATGCAGGCCCTCATAACAAGCTAGCTGATAATACAATATCGTGACACTTCAGCTACAGCTACGGGCAAATTCACTTTATAATCACAAGAAGAGAACTGAAAATTATTTCCATTTTTCTTGTAAATCTATACAGAACGTCTGCAGGATAACTTTATGGTGGTAACCTTAATCCTCGTATGTTTTTTAATTGTGAATGAATTTCATGGAATCTGGTCAAAAATTGCAACCTGCAACAAACGTTGATTTTTGACCACCCCTCACCCTCTAGGAGAAGGGTAAGTGGTGATTACTACAATTTGTATATCAAAATGTTCGGTTCGGCCCTAGGGTCCAAAGGTTTGTTTGCTACACCAACGGTAGTATTTACCTGAATTTGATTGCATATCCTTACAGAAACAAAGAAGTAAACATTAAAATATGTATGAATCATATCTGAGTGGCCTGCCTGATAGCCAGCCAAGGTAGACAGACAAGCTAGCCAGGGTTCGTCTTTTTCCGCAAACCCTGTTAACGGTGCACACCCCAGTTCTTCCGCGACAGGGGCCGCGATAGTGCGCTGTACAAAAGTGACGAAAGGGTTTTGAGGGTTCAAGTTTGAGGCGACATTTCTCATAAACTGCCACGAAATATCATTTAACATTAACATGGCTGAAGAGTGTAAGAAAGGGTGATTTTCAAGGGGTGAACATTTGTTTTGGCTCCGAACCTTACTTCCGGGTATCCTTGCGCGCCATTGAAGTGTAATCCGCCCTAGATTTGACCTAGATTTCGCTCTGCGCCTAGCCTCTACCAGGCTTGAGGGCGCGGCAAGAAAAAGTAGAAATTGGCCAAATAGAGAGATAACACACAGAGGGAGTTTAGCCACCCAGTTAACAGTTTGCCGGCAAACTCCCTCTGCGTGTTATCTCTCTGTATATATAATTGGCCAATTTCTACTATTTCCAGCCGCGCCCTCAAGCCTGGTAGAGGCTACACTGCGCCTCCATAGGACTTAGGAGTGGATTTGCAACCGCTCGCGCCGTGGACGGTTTTAACAAATTTCTTTCAGTACTAGAATTTTCTTTATAAGTTACTTGGGTATAGTCAAGGTTTGAGTCTTTCTGCCAGCATCAGTCATTTCTACCGGAAATTTGTTTTCTTAGGATTATCCAACGCGAAAATTCCCAATTTTGTGCATTAATTTTGGAGTGAAAATAATGTTTTTTCCGTTAATTTTACCAAACTTAGCTGTCCCGTATACAGTTATTCTCCTTCCGCGGCAGAGACGGTCGCTAGATTTGAGGGTGTGCAGCTTAACGTCATTTCCCGCCAAAACGTCCCTTCCCATGGTGCATCGGTGAAATGGTAAGGTCACGTGGCACAAGTGGTCAAAATGGCGACGGCGATGTATTTGGAGCACTACCTGGACAGTGAGTTTTTTTCTTCAGTATTTCATGCGTGTGACGTTTGGTCATCTTTTCTTCTTCTCCAGACGAACACCATAAACTTCAATGTTAAGGGACATGATGTCAAATACATTGTATTCATGATGATTTTCAAAAGAACTTGTCTCAAATCATTCGCAAAATAGTCACCCTCCCAGCATAGGAGCTAGTAAACACCTCTACCGACCTGAACCGGGTCTTCATACATGTGTGCTGGGAAAATAAAGGGCTTAAATTTGCTGTTTGAATCGAGTTCTGATGGTACCTGCGGTACGAGGCAATTGGTCATTTGGTGGTCTTAAATATTTGACCCATTTCAATGACAGGATACCCAGTAGTTTAGTGCAAAAGATACAACGATATTTTGACATGAAAAACTTGACCGGGAAAGTTTGTTGCTCTGTTGTCTCTGTTGAGGGATGGTCCATGCAAGGCTACATGTACTTATCTGTTATCCACTGCTCATCATGTCACATTTTCACTTCCATGAAAAATTGATGTAAGTAAGGTATGCAGGTATGTTTTTGGTCTGACCCTGAGTGTCAGTGTTTGTGTACATGTTACCTTCCTGTGTGTGTGTTTCCCGATAGTTTGTGGTCAACATAACCTCAGTCCTGGCCTGGATGATTAAGTATTTGGTATGTGTGGTATGTGGTTAGGTCTTGGGACAGCCAAGGTCAAGGTTGATAGTGGCTTTCCTTGGTACTGTAATAGAACTTCTAGTTCTACTAGTACATTTGTACTAGTTTTTGTTTCCTGAACTTGGCTATGCACGGGTTTTTCTAGAAAAATTTAGCATGAGGGAGCAGATCGCAAGCATGACAAGGAACGAAGCGACCAAGGGGGGATTTTTTAATAAGAGTAGCCACTTAGGGTTCAATCTGAAAATTGGCATGAGGGAGCTGGCTGGTTACATGAGGGAGCAGCTCCCTTATTCCCTTGTTTAGAAAAAACCCTGCTATGGTCTTGATATTTTGGTAGCAACTACTTATAAGTTACTATAACAGTAGGGGTTTATATTGATAAGTTTAAGTTGCAAATTCCTGTCCAAGGGCTAATTGCAAATGGCAAAGATAAAATAACTTCAAAATGTACAAAATAACACAAGGTAATTGTCTGAAACTATAGAATATATAAGCAGTACCAAATGATCCATCTGACGGGTCTAGACCTTTTAGCCGAATGGTTAGAGTGTCTGGGTGTGAACTGGTTCGAGTGCCGAGACGGAGTGTCTTTCTTGTTTCACTGGTTCCCACCTTGGCCCAGGGAGTACTGGCAAGAGTGCCGCTCCAGGGATATCAAAATCTGAAGATTTGAGGATGATTCATGAAAAGAAAAGGGAGAGTAGACTACTAGTGTAACCGTGGGGGGTTTTCAAGCACAGGGCTTGGAGCATGTAGGTAACATTACCTTAGACCCGATTTACACGTCAAAGTTTGTGATGTCGGGAAGATCGGGACGAGCTACAGCTTTTTTCACCATGTAGAGAGGAATTTTATGGTTTTCCCCACTGTCAGATATCACAGGACAGCTTTGGAGAAGTCATCTGGTGGCTCAGTGGGAGTCCCTAACAACTTGAGCCCATATATAAAAGGAAATTAAAGCTGTCGGGCATGCAATGTCAGGAAGAAATCTAGGTCAGGGGTTGTATACAAGATTTCATATTCTACCTGGAAGACTATTTGTTGTTTGGATCCTATTTTGGGACCCTATTTTGGAATACAATGTAAATTGTAGCTTAACTGTGAACAGTCCCTATTTTGTGGGTGCTCCTAATGCCAGGTCACTAACTACTGCTGACAAGGCCATGGATAGACTTCCTGCCACTTTCCCTTCTTTTCTCAGCAAATTGCAGCAGTGTATGCACATTTCTTCACCTTTCTGTCTTCTTTGCTACATGCTGTAGGTATTGAAAACCTGCCCTTTGAGCTGCAGAGGAACTTTTCTCTGATGAGGGACCTGGACCAGCGATCTCAGGGTGAGAACAGCTCAAAACAATGTTTTAATATACATACGCTGGCACAGGTGACATTCAACATTCTGCTGAAAAAAGTCATAATCTAATACATGTATATATAATATAGTATAGTTCTCAGGGCTCAAATATATTGAGGCACTGGGTGCAGTACCTTAGTGCACCCAAATTTGTAGCTGTGTACCCAGTTTGTTTCTTTGGGTGCACCAAAATATTTTTGTAGGTTTACATACGTAAAAATGTCCAGTAGTGTACAGCATACTAGGTGTCATAAAAATAATAAAATCATTGTTGAGTCCTGGTGAGACCTGGAATTATTAGATTTTGGTTGCTAGTAAGTGGTTTACAACTTATGTGTTACTGTACTTGTTGTATGGAAGGATGTAGTTAAAGGAAGCTACGGAAATGCCCTTAAATGATATACAGAACTTTCATTGTTTACTGTCAGACTCAGAATCGACAAATTCTGTTACATAGCAGAACACAAGATTTACTTGGTACCACAGTAGACCACCATGTTTTGAATCTTACCTGCAGCTGTATGATAAGGCCACACCAATTTGATTTGTTGTTTCTCAGATTTTTTCAGGAAAAATATGAAGCGACAGGGGAAAAAAGAAACAGGCCAAGGCACCCCATGATAGCCAGAAATGTTACAATATTAGCCATGAAGTGAACATACCAGGCTGGTTCATAATTAAAACAATAGATTTTGAACTTTTAATGAAACAAAATTGCATTGTTACATTAAAAAACAAAAAAAAAGAATTAGGAAGAAAAGGACTTTCTTCAACTGTTGGGGCCAAAATATGTCTTTCATTGAGCATTTTGCAGTTAATTTAGAACAAAAATTTTTTTTGTAAGTCAGAAAAAAATGGACAGGGCGATCCGAGAAGCAACAAATTAAATTGGTGTGGCCTAAAAACAATTAAACCTTGTTGTTTTTTTCTTGTCCATCATTGTTAGATCTGCGAGGTGAGATTGAAAAGATGGCTGAAGATTACGTCTCGGATGTCAAAGGGCTGTCCCCTGAGAAGAGAGTAGAGCGACTGAAGAATATTCAGACTGCTTTTAATAAGAGTAAAGAATTTGGTGATGACAAGGTTCAACTGGCCATGCAGACTTATGAAATGGTGAGTTGACCTGTTACAAAATTGTTACACACGATAGATTGTTATTTTGTATTTATTCATGATTTTTCTGATTTAGGTATAGTTTTACACAGTCACACAAACATGCAAACACAGCCAACATACATGTTGGACATGCTTAAATAGTAAGTCATGAAATCATTACACAGAGATGAAAATGGTCACTTGCAATTTTGAGAAAAATAGTACTGCAAGGGAGAATGTAGTGCAATTCACAGGCTCCAAACATACAGTACATGTATGTGGTGCAGCCCTAGAATGCTATTACAAGTTACTACAAAGCCCTGCAAGAGCATGATACAAATGTTACAAAGGTCTACTTGTCGGTGAGGGCTGTAGAAGAGCAGGGGCAGTTGCTGGGTATCTGCAGAAAAGTTCCGAAATTGCAAGTAAAATTTTGAACAACTTGCAACATGCAGGTAACAGTTTTTTTAGCCTGCTGCAAATCTTTTGTGCCAGTATGTTGTACATGTATACATGTAGCCATCGTTTCTCACAGTTATGTTTGTCTCCAGGTTGACAAACACATCCGGAAGCTGGATGCAGACTTGGCCAGATTTGAAGCAGAACTGAAGAACAAAACTGTAGATTCTCCCACAGCAGATCCAGGACCATCGGGAAAAAGCAACAAACGTAAAGTTTTGTGTTTGTAGTGTTTCATCAAACAACCTTTCCTGATTGCTAAAAGTATCTTATTTGAATATTGCAGCAGTTTGGGGCATTGTTACATGTTTTCATGTGAAAGCCACTGAAAGTCAGATTACTACATGTAAGTCTTTTTTTTTAATCTCTGTTACTCCTGAACTCCAAGATTTCTGCTGCACACATTTTAAGGACTTACATTGTAGGGCAAAACTAGGGAAAGGAACATAAAACATCTGCCTTCCAAAGTTGGCCCTTTTGAGCTTTTCATGGAGTCCTCATTTTGCTCACGCAGGACAGGAGTGTGCCAGTTCTACAGTCAATCTAAAACACCTTGTTTTTCTTCCTCAGGAGGCAAAAAGCAAGACAAGAGCACCAGCAAGAAGGGTTCTCAGAAAAAAGGTCGCTTGTCTGATGATGAGACACCGAAGCTCAACAAAAAGAAGCAGAAAACATCACATACAAAGTGAGATTACACTCTCGTAAACTTGTTAGGACCTCGTGCTCACCAAATGTACTTGACTAATAAGAATATAAGAATGAAATAGAACAAGAAGCCATAGGCGACAATCCTCCGTAAAGATTTATATATTTCAACAAATACAATCCCAAGGGTCAACGCCAGACCTACTGTGCAGACATTGTAATTAGGCAACGGTTAATACAATGAGGGCGCGTCACAAGCATAAAACATAAAAAAAAACTAAATCCATTACTGCTCCCACTTCCTTTTACATTTCAACTCTCAAGTAGACGCCCCAGGCCAAAGTCGGGGTGCGAACATTATAATATTAAGGTTTCCCCCGACAATAATCACGAAACAAGCCTGACAGACGACCATATTTACCGCCCCGAACAGCACCACGCCACTGTCCCACCTCCGGGTTAAGTGACGACAAAATCACGTCGAAAATGCTAAAAAAAATACGCATAGAAGCATGTATCTTCTCCATAGAATCTTGAAACAATGCATTTCTCCACTAGAATATCGATGTGTGGTTCTGGAAAATAGCATTCTAGCGCTTATATCGCACACAGAAATGCATGATCAGCGCCGGGCGTCATTGCCTGTAACTGTTACTGTGTGCTTGACTTGACTTCTTCCTTTACCGAAACTTGGTGACCATATCGACGATAGTCACAGGAAATATGTCCATTTATTGAAGTTTAACTTTATTTCCAATTGTCCGTATTCTTATCTAAACATGCTATGGACGATTGATGTCGTTCCAAGCACCCCATGCCGGTGTCCGCTAGATTTCTGGGTCGTCCACGGATTTTCCACAGATGTGTGTATTCTGTGTACAATCTACAGAAATGTACATCAGGTCCAATCATCCGATTCTCCCCTTTCAGTTTTTTGGACTCGGTTCTTGTATGTTGTTCCAGTCCAAACCGGTCCGACTGAACTAGTACCCACCCTTAGATGCACATCAGGCTCCTGGAATGTGCGAATGTGCGAAAAAATGACTCCAGGACTGTCTACAGGGAACACTCGCATAAGGCCAACATTCGCGGTGTAAGACAGCGCGACTGGCCATACACCGCGACTGGCCAAGCCCAGACCCTGCAATTAGTAACAGTTGCACATCAATCCGGCCGAGAGAATTTCAAGAGAATAATACCGGGAAACGATTACTTTTCTTGTTTTGAACGCATAAACATAGATGTACGCTAATCTAGTATACCTGCCATGGCCAGATTATCTAAAGATGTGTGTATTCTATAGCCTCCTTCGCAGTCTTGTTGGGCGTGGGCGTAATTTTTTCTCTGAGCGACGCTAGTAATATGCGGCCGCGAGGGACGATTTGCTGCCGAGGGACTTTTGCCACGGAGAGAAGGTTTCTGTGCTCCAACAAGACTGCTTCCAATCGGCGAGTTAAAAGGACCTCGGATTAAGCCAGCCTTTCATAGAGGCTATTAACATGTTCGTGCAGGTCCAATTCACATGTCCGCGCAAGGGTAATTCATAGATACGCATGACACGCGCTCGCCTTTGTCAACGGTTGGTTTTATTAGCTTGCGTGACGTTATAGTCGAAGGTTCCAACAGAGAACATTGGTAATGTTACAACAAAGGCATTGCCGTGCATATTTAAGCGTCCCATGCAAACAAACCAAGACAATTTGCAGTACATTTTGTACTATTTTTGCTGGTGAAATGTGCAATTCTTTCTATTACGCAACTTGCTGCGGAGCGGTGTGTTCCCCTCCCATGGTCAGTGAGATCAACCCGCCACCAAACAACATGGCGGCACTTTGTTTATCTGTCGACGTCCCCCAGCAATATCACAGTTTAGCTTGCGGGTTCCTGTGGTAGTGATTTGTTCAAAGTTGTTTTTCGTAGCAGCAATGTCTCCGGGATTTTGTTGAGTGGATAGGGCTGGGTTTTCGGGAATGGTTGGCGTTCTACCGACGGGTTGATCGGCGACCGCTGGAAAGTTACAAGTTTTGGCTCGTCGATCAACGGGGCGTGAACACCACCCTGCACTGGTGGCGTTTATTGCGGGAAGTTCACACATCCATGCCAATCGCTCCTAAGTGTTTTTTGATAGCACTTTTAACTCGCCGATTGGAAGCAGTCTTGTTGGAGCGCGGAAACCTTCTCTCCGTGGCAAAAGTCCCTCGGCAGCAAATCGTCCCTCGCGGCGGCATATTACTAGCGTCGCTCAGAGAAAAAATTACGCCCACGCCCAACAAGACTGCGAAGGAGGCTAGTATTCTGTGTACAATCTACAGAAATGTACATCAGGTCCAATCATCCGATTATCACGTTTCAGTTTTTTGGACTCGGTCGTTGAACGTTGTTCCGGTCCAAACCGGTCCGACTGAACCAATACCCAGCCCTAGATGCAAATCAGACTCCAGGAATGTGCGAATGTCCGAAAAAAAATTACTCCAGGACTGTCTACAGAGAACACTCGCATATTGCCCAACATTCGCGGTGTATCAAGACAGCGCGACTGGCCAAGCGCAGACCCCAACAGTTGCACATCAATCCGGCCGAAAGCATGATTGTGTAACACAGGTTACATCTTATAGTAGATAGTAGATAATAGATTCTTTCAGCCAGGTAGGTCTTCCTATACCGGCTCATACTACAGGACGCGTTTACAACTAGCAAATCATTAAATTATCTGATCTACTAATATGTGTGGTTTACCAGCCCCAGACCACATCCGACCACGAGGCAAAACACATTGATGGGTTGCTAAAAAATATTGTCCATTTTTCCAAAGAGCTGCTCCACTAACACTATGGAGCGGCCCAACCCAAAAATATTGCCCATGTGTACAGTCAAGCGGCCAGCACGCTCGTTGCTAGGACGACCGGCCAGTTGCTACGTGACTAATATACACGCCGCCACTAGGTCGCCACACCCGACCAGTTTGAAATCAATAGGATTACGTCATCAGTATTAACATTAAATTTTTCCTAATGTTGACCTCTGACCACCCCACATATCCGTACCCATCAGCCCCGCCCCGACTTACTACCGGTGACATAAACGGACGACAACATTTCAACGGCATGGGGATGTTTCGAAAATAACCATTTACTCCAATATCAAAACAGCTACAGTAAAAATAAAAAGACGTGCATCATCCCGGACATAATGCAACACCACATGCGAAATTACACAGAAATGCGACGTACGGAAGAATGCGTTTTGGCTGCGAACATCTTCCAAAAAACTTGGCATCTCTTAACCATGGGCAAAAACATCTGGAACCACTTATAAAAACCACCCCGTATCTGCATGAACTTTTACCCCCCCCCACTGCTATTCCAAACAACGCGTTTTTCTGGACCATTCCAATTCGCCTCGTAATTGTAGGGGTGCGTCTGCGATATTACATTGACCGCGAAAGCAGCAACGGCAAAAATACACATTCGTGCATCAACACGGGCATGCCCGCAGACGGCGTATAAAATTGCGTGCCGATTACACAAAGAGAACCCAGTGTTTTGACTGCGAACATGAAAAATCAGCCGATTACAACACTCCGTCCGGAGGTCCTGACCTCCTTCACGGAGTAATAATTATCATATACTAGTAGCCATAAGGTGTCAACCAATCAGAAGTCCCCATTTCTTAATAGGTTATGATGCTCACTGGGGGTGAATTCTGATCTCCCATAAACCAGACCATTAGGGTCCCCCTATTGACAGCACCCTGGGCTCGAGATTAGAGAACAATTGTGAATTTGCCTGCAATCTGTGCGGGGAGTGTGGGTCATGCGCTCACTCGGTTGTTATACAATGTAGATAATGATGGGGCCTTATGACACTATATACACCTGGTGGCTGGTACATGTATACACCACAGCAGGTTTATCACATATGTTGACCCTCCCTCAGAGTGGAAGCTGCCCAGCCTGTGATCCTGCCATCCCTGCCTGTAGCCTTCACTCACCCCTCAGACGTACTGGACATGCCTGTGGACCCTAACGAGCCCACGTACTGCCTGTGTCATCAGGTGTCGTATGGAGAGATGATCGGCTGTGATAACCCTGATGTAAGTATGTCAGTCTGCCTCAACCATGGCTCACTGCTGCTGACTGGGTTGTGCTGGCTTTATAAGTTAGCTCAAACTTTTAAAGACATATCCAACAGCAGAAGCAATGTTTTGCAGATATTATGTTTCTGAATCCCAAAGAGTAACTGTATTGAAAACTTGACATTGAGTTTGGATTAGGCAGCAGTTAGATTATACGGCATTAATATTCTGGTAACCCCCTATGTACCCTCCAGATCAATTACAGCCAGATGAAACATGTTATTTTACAAACAACCATTGGACAAATCTCAAAGCGGGAGCGTTTTAATATTATTTTTGCAATGTGTTTCTGTATACTCATTCCTCAATTTATAAACTTACTACTATACTACATGTAGCAACTTTGTTTTACATGTGGCTTGATTTGTGGTCTCAGTCTTCCCATTGAAACCCATACTTAAGATTCCCAAAATGATACCCTCAAAAAAGTGGCCGTTGTTGCAAAATCTATGGGTGATCTTGAAAATAAGGTTTGTAATATGTGAGCAGTTTAGTTGCCCCGACGGCAGGACAGACTGCTATGGGACCGGTGAGGTGAGGTGAGGTGAATATGTGAGCGGATAGTTGTTCCTCAATATTCTGCCTTAACATCTAAATTTTGCTTTGAGTAAAAAAAGTCTTTTTTTTAATCAGCCAACAATGAAGTGGGCACATCTGGGAAAAAGTAATTTAGTTGGTATGGCCTGCGATGCCTTATATGTATCCTCATGCTGTATTTTGTAAATTTAATCAGTAAATGCCTGATGTTGAAAAGCACACAAGTTCACTCCACCTGTTTGCAGGAGTCAACATTTCGATGACTGTCATCTTCATCAGGGTGATTCTGACTAGTTCACTTTGCACTGAAGCTAGATCTAGATGTTACTTACTGCTAACAATTTGATCCCTAATACAAAGTAAGCTCATAGTGAAATAATGCAGTTAGAAATGTCTGTGTGTGTACGTGCCTGTGCGTGCGTGTGAGCATGTGTGGGTTCATGTTTGTATCTACTTGCATGTGTGTCCTTGAAATGATTATGATGCTACTGATTTTATTACAGTGTCCAATTGAATGGTTCCACTTCGGATGTGTGGGTCTTACAACAAAACCCAAAGGGAAATGGTAAGTCTTTATTCTTTGTCAAACAAATACATGTAGAGCTTAATCCTGTGTGTGATGTATGTAATGCTATGGTTAATATTGATGAGATTCTCTGAAACATTTATTGTAAGATCGTATAAAACTAGAATTGGTTATCTGCGGAAAATGCAGCTCACCAGTTGTGGCATGTGCTTCTACATTGTACATGTACATGTACATAGTATGTAGTGAAGGACCCCATTCCTGCACTTGTAGGCTTAAAATGACAGTTCCCAAATTTTGCCCTCCTTGGGCCTTTGAAAATGAGTATGACAGACAAAAGTTTAAATGTAAACTAGGGGTGTTGCTTATTGTAACCTGTTGGTCACAGTATTTTTCACAACAATGATGCAGGTAATCTAATTAGTGGGGAACCTGTCACTCACTCACTCACTCACACCCTCACTCACTCACTTTTACTCACTCACTCACTCGCACTCACTCATTTACTCTCACTCACTCTCACTCACTCATTCACTCTCACTCTCACTCACTCACACACACATTTGCTCTCACTCACTCACTCTCACTCACTCACTCTCACTCACTCACACACACATTCGCTCTCACTCACTCTCACTCACCCACTCTCACTCACTCACTCTCACTCACTCACACACACATTCGCTCTCACTCACTCTCACTCACTCACTCTCACTCACTCACTCACTCACTCTCACTCACTCACACACACATTCGCTCTCACTCACTCACTCACTCACACTCATTCACTCTCACTCACTCTCACTCACTCACTCACTCACTCACTCATTCACTCACTCACACTCATTCACTCACTCACTCACTCTCACTCACTCACTCTCACTCACTCACACTCATTCACTCTCACTCACTCACTCATTCACTCTCACTCACACACTCACACACTCACTCACTCACTTACACACTCACTCACACACTCACTCACACACTCACTCGCACACTCACTCACTCACTCACTCACTCACACTATCCAGGATTTGAACCTGTATGAGTATAGATTAAAATGTTATCTGCATTACTGGTAGAAAAAATCTTGTATCTATGAAAAGGTTTATATCATAGTTCATGTGATACAAATACTTTATAATGCAAATTTGACCTTTTTGCATAATTGAGGAAAATCTACAATTGCTGGCAGAGGTATGAGGTGATGTATTATCAAAATATCAAACTGAACATGTACCAAATCTATGAACATTGACTACAGTATCTGTCTGTTTTAAACAATGACAGATTTTGATACTTTCTCTGTGGTTTCTAGGTTCTGTCCAAAGTGCACCTTGGAGAGAAAGAAGAAGTAAAAAAACAAACAACGGACATGTATCCACAAGTGAACCCCTCATCCTGGACAGACAGTAAATGTTGTACAGGTAGAGATGTATAGCTGAGGACAGCACATATTGTGCCATGTGTTTGTAGACTCCATATTTGTGCAGCTGTCATGTCAGGATGGGCCAGTGGCAGCGCTGACATCACCATGCTTCGTGATAACTGAACAAAAAAAGCCAGTAAAATGAACAGGGAGGTTTGGGCAGCTGATAATAGTCAACAAATCTAGGAAGCGGTAAAAATTTGTTTCACACCCCAAATACTACAGTATGTGAAGTCTCTTCCCTTAGACTTGTATGCTAATCATGTGTCCCGTGAATGTTAATTACAACAGAGGAATATCATAACGGCATTTCTGAACGTTTTGAACTCACAAAGTGGAGTTTATTGGCTCTAGAATGGCTTCAGAATGCAAGGCAAAGCCCATGGCTTCCCAATCTTCTCCAGACATGGTTGGGAGTTCGTTGTGAGCATCTGTGGTTGGGAGTTGGTTGGCAAGGTTGCCTAATTTTGCCTAGTGGTCTCTGAAAGTCATCTGTGCCAGGCAAGTGAATTTTGAAAAAAATCAAAGTTTCTAAAGTCATCTTCTGCTTGGATGCTCTCACATGAGCAACTGAAGCTAGTATATCATGGATACCAGCCTAATAAATGTAGAATGTGTGCCCTGGTATGATGAGTGGAAGCAGTAAATATATTGAAAAACACACGTAATGGAAATCAGACACTATTTTTCTGAATCAAAATTATTGTAATCATTATGGTTAATCAAGGTCTGATAGAAGCAGTGGATATTAAAAGATGAAAATCGGGCGTCCTGTATGAGATCTGAGATGAGCTATGAGATTATTAACAGATAAAGCTGGCGCTTGACTCTGTATCAGAGAAGTATGTAACTATATTCTGCATGAAATTTACCCAGCGACTTTATAGTATGAATCAGTTACCTGCAAATACATGAGACAAGATCACCCCTGAAAAATAATAAACTAACCACAAGAAGCCTTTTGTATCTAACAATGTTACTAGTACAGTACATGTAGGCACAGCACAGCCCTCCCCTAAACCTGTGTAGTCTGCTGTTTCTAATAGAAATATAATGCTTGTGTTATTGGGAACAGAGTTACTGTGTAGAAGTTTCCCATGTGGTACATCTTACCCTTCAATCCTCAATCCTACGTTCATGTAATGTTAGTAGAATACCTGTATCAATATCATTTGGGTTTCTTTTACCACCACCATGCTGATACTTCACAATTTGTTCTCCAACTGTACATGTATAAATGTACAATGTATATTATGTGTATATCAGCCAATCTGTGTGTAAAAAGGTGTCTATTTAGAATATCAGTGGTGCTCAAACCAAGATATTGAAAGTCAAACTTGACTCATGAATGGTATTAGACTAACGGTCAATGTTTGCCAGTGTTTCTATTTTTTTGTTGATGTTTGATTGAAAAGATTTGCCTTCTTTCAAACTTGTACATGTGCAAAATGTGTGGAAAAGTTTGACTGTTCTCTAATTCAAGATGGACTTACCGGGATTTTGTACAAAATGCATTTTAATTCCTCTTGTGGACATACATTATGTGTTAGATTTTAGCAGAAATATCATTTTTACTGTTCAGAATGAATGGTTTTGTCAGTCACCACTGATGTAACATGATTGTAGTATTTTGCATTTGTTTTGTCTACATGCCTGAAACACATACACATGTACAAGAGAGGCCTACAGTTTATAACCCTCATGTTATGTAAATAAATGTCAATAAACCATTGTTTATCACAGACCTGTTTGTCGAAAATACATGTGTTTGTACGTGTGTGTGATTGTGTGTACGTGTGTGTGTGTGTGTGTGTGTGTGTGTTTAAAAAGTAATCATTGCTGAGAAGTATCTTCATTTATTACAATAAAAACATGCTATTGTAAATTTTACGTCTTTCTGGCAAGTAGATACTAGATATAAAAAATTAATGTACTTGTTATAAATATACAAATAGATATACTCTCAGTATTTTATTTATCAGTATCAATATCTTTTATTAATTATGCATTTTACTCGAAGGTACAGTCGAAAATGCAAAGTCGATCTTGTTTTTAATATGAAGTTCTAAAGGTTTGCAGTAGCAAATTGTACACATTCAAACGGAATAATCCATTATCATTTCTAAATATCAACAGAAGTTTCCAGACAAATTATTAAATCAGAATTACAATGCCATTCTGCTGAAACGTACATAGGCAGATTCAAATATTCAGCCCATTTTAAGAAATATTCTTCCTTTAACAATGTGTATGGCCTATTTCGTTTTTACCTGCACATTTAAACACCTTGCGAGCATGTATTTATAGTGCAGTCTACGAAGACTTACGCTAAATGACTTCCCTGGAAGAACATCGTATGTTTATAGTGAAATTGAGTACTTGTAGTACAATTACTTCAGATGATATTTTATACTCAGTCTCTAAGTTTACCTCTTCCAATTCTGAATATGACTACAAGAAAAGACTCCAAAGCTTGAGACACCAGTTCTGGAAAGGTTGCTATGTTGTAGTGTCTGTGTCAGCGGTGGATGAGGAGGTGGGTGACAGGAAGTTGAGCTGTCTCTGCTCTCTCGCTCTGTCCCGAACCTCCTGGACAACACCTGTTGCCTGCATAGGAAACCAAACGATGGAAATATATTAATGATTTGGAAGGATGAAAGTTTTTTTCTACTCCAACATTTATCACAAGACACGACGACGGCACACTCAAGTTTTGTGAACTTATCAAGTTTACACAGGTGCACGGACAACAGGCATACTCATTTTCACCCAAGCTAGGTGAGGAAAGTTGTGTAAAGTGCCTTTCCCTAGGGCATAAGATTGGTGACATGACAGGAGTCGAACTCGGGACCTCTTGGTTCCGAGCCAAACGCTCTGTCATTACGCCAAACGACGCGAAAGTTTAGTCCAATCGAAAGAAGAAAAACATTCAAACAGACGCATACAATTCTTCGTCTGTCGTTCTTTTTGGAGCATTAGTTTAGAAAGATTGATGAAATACCAACCCATAAGTATAGAGTGGCGGCTCCTGCGCTGACGTCTCTGATCTCGTCCAGGTTGTACTTGCCCAGGAACTGCCGGGACCTGTTGGCCACTGCCACGGGGATCTTAGCTACGTTACAAGCAGACACTCGTCTCTTCAGCCCCTCTGCACCAGCCTTACTGAGGAGAATCTGCACTGACTGCCAGTTCTGTAACACAGTGGAGGGTCAACTGAATTAGGTTCTCTTTGTGTCATTGATACACAGTGTCAGTGACACGGTGTCATATCGAAATATGACACTGCCTCATGAAGAAACTCCCTTCTAAAGGTCTGCATGAGAGAAAACCTATTCACGGAGACAAATAGATGTGATTTTGGCTTTCGTAGAAAATAACAGACGTATTTGTTAGAATTCCTGAAGACTGACTACAAAAATCATACTTTTAGGCTCGCCGCTGGGCGTCGCCATAAAGAATAGTAACAAGACGATGTAAGATGATTTAAGATTTCTTAATGGCAGTCAGAAATTTTAGATAAGTAAGAAACAAGTTCTTTTTCTCCCAGAAGTCACCTCCGTGTCTTTCTCCCTGGTGCCCAGCAGCAGGTACACGGCTGTCATGACGGTTTTGACCGCTGGGTGGGGCTTGTTATAGCTGCGGATCTCCGACACCGTGCTCTGCCGCAGCTTCAGAACTTCTTGTTTCAACTTGTCCAGTTGCCGCAGGGACAGGAGCAGTTTGTTTGCCCTGTTTATCTCGTGTTTAACTTTGTCCTCCACCCCGGCCCTCTGCACGGCGGTGATGGCGGCCTCCAGCGCCGGTAGGTTCCTCAGGGCCATGGCCTTCTGCAGGGCTGAAAAAACACCAGGATTCACACTCATTCAAAAAGAATGATCACAATGATTTCAGTTCTGGCGGGCATTGATAAAATCATTTTATAATGTCTATGAATGCTTAATGCCCCGAAGGTTCAGTTATGCTCCTTTCTCCTTTTCCCGAGGGTCTCCGGGGGGGGGGGGTCCTGGCAACTGGTACGCCCGACAACGCTTAACGGTATTCAGGACGGTTGGTAACGCTTAACGGTAAATTCAGGACGGTTGGTAACGCTTAACGGTAAATTCAGGACGGTTGGTAACGCTTAACGGTAAATTGACGCATTTTTTTTCGAACTCCACTAGATTCGGTATCTGAAATGGTGAGAAAGAGTGATCGTTGACGAAATATATGTAACGAGGTGTACATTAAAGCAAGGAGGTTAGTGTCCCCTGTGTTCCCCTCCTCGAGTGCGTCCATAAATGCTTGAAGAGGGGGACCGAGCGCAGAAGGCGAGAGTTGAGCGCAAAAGGCGCGAGCAATGTTAGGGGGTCCGGGAACTTGCTCCCCAGGCAAATTTTGCATTTTTAAACCTTCAATAACACATTTTCCTGCATTTTGAGAGGCAAAGTGGCGACGGCTACTTGAGATTTGACAATTACAACCAATTACATAAAAAATGTCGGAAAATATCAGTCCCTTATAATATTATGTATCTAATATAAAAGGCTCCAGGAAGAGCAGTAGTTGTGTTGTCATTTAACTGGAGATTCCTTGATAAATAAATAAACAAACAAACAAACAAACAAACAAACAAACGCACCCTCTGTGACCTCGTACATCTGGATCAGCGTCTCAGCGGCCTCCATGTGTTCATCGACGTCAGCCCTGCCGGCGGAGACCGGTGCCGCGCCTGCCGGGTCCTGTCCTGACGGCCGGTCTGTCATGCCTGGGGACAAACACGCTGATAATCAATAATAATATAGAACTTATGCAAATTACGCCTTTATTTGCATACCAAGGAAAAGTCATGCTTCTATTCACGGCTCGTTTGCATATAATTCAATCCACTATAATAGATAGTATTTGATAGTGTGGGACTTTTACACGTGGCATCAGCCTCCAAGTTAAAAGAAAATGGTGGTATGTGTTTAGCCTCCTGTGCAGGCCTCCGGGCAGGTGGGAGTTTTGATACTGTGTTTTCTAGAATTCTCTGAGCGGCTGGTTGTAGGGTAGTCGGCAAAAGAACGCGTTAAGCATTCTACAAAACGTTATATCCACCCGCCCCTAGTATGTGGTCGTGGAACCTTTTAAGTCGGCATATGGGTTTATTACCAGTGGTAAGTTTTGTGTAGTCAGGTCACAAAGAATGTTTGATGTTATCTGTGTCTTGCTGTCCGTGTGAAACTGACCGTTTTCCAGCTCCGATGACCGTTGGATCAGCTGTTCTGCCTCAGCCAGCTCACGTTCAACATCCGTGACGTCATCTTTCTTACAGAGATCAAAGCTTGCCGCCCTTTTCACGGAGAGACAGTATTGGCCGCTGTGGTCTGGTGAAAAAAAAAACATCATACACTAGTAGATACACTACCCTCTTCAGGTAGATATATTTTTTATGATTATGATTAGTTTAATAGCTGTTTTTCTTTGCCATTACCAAAACATTTATCCGGTCCGATACGCCAGATTGTCCTGTATTTTGGTGACTGGTCAGTGGACAAGGTTGCAAATAAAACGACTACAAAGGTCAGGCCATAGACTTTTTGTACTTCATATTTCTATAATTTGCGCCAATGTTAACTTTACCGTTACACATTTAAGCACACACACACATAAATCTACGAGCATCCCTACCTTTTCTTGCTTTCATACTGTCCACCGGCTGTCCTTCATTTTCCAGTAGAAGTGATGGTTTCTGGGATACAGCGAGAACTCGTCCCTTCTGGACGTCCGGATCTAACCGAGACATGATCTCAGAACCGTCGTGAGCTGTCGTGTGTTTGTCGCTCTTGTCGGTCGTGTTACTGTACTCATCAGCCCGTCTTAAACCTGGGTTAGGTACAATGGAAAGAATATAACCTTTAGCTATAACATCACTCAACCACTCACTCACTCACTCACTCACTCACTCACTCACTCTCACTCACTCACTCACTCATTCACTCACTCACTCACTATCTCACCGTACTAACTCACTCACTCACTCACTCTCACACTCACTCACTCACTCACTCACTCACTCACTCACTCACTCACTCACTCACTCACTCACTCACTCACTCACTCACTCACTAACTCACCCATTCACACACTCACACACTCACTCATTTACTAACTCACTAACTCACTAACTAACTCACTCACTCGCTCACTCGTTCCCCTAAATAAAGTTATGAAAATTTGAAGTGTTCGTCAGGGAAAGGAGGATTAAAGTTATAAGGAAATTGCCATACATTACAAATAAGCAAGCTTAATACGATATGATATAACGTTGGTACATGACAGGCACAAAATTGGGCGAAAAACACATACACCCACCTTGAGCACAATGCTTAATGCTTGGAAATTCGGGACCGGCAAAAACCGGTCGTCTTAGACCGATGGTCGTTTTATGGAAATGGTCGCTGGACCAAGTTTGACTGTATTTGAAACGGAGGTTTGGGATCAATAGATAGCAGTTCTGATTATGAACAGGTAACCGTACCGGCTGAACACTGCCGTCTGCTGCCTGACTGTATCAGCGTCTCTGCCTCGTCCAGTTCCCTGTCTACAGCATCCAGCATCATCAGAGACTCCTCCGTCACCGCCGGTATCTTCGTGCTCACGCCGTCAACATGGCCTCCGGTAGAAGGTATGCTCGACCGAGCACCGCTACCTAGTTATATGGACAATATGTAAGAGACCATGAAGGATCTTATATACATTGGGCCAATGACTGGCTTAATGTATATAAGATTTAATGGCTAAGCTTTAACTTCCAACACTTAGATCACAGACCTACCCTGAACAGAGACGACGGGGGGCGACACAAGTTATCTGGCACGTATGACCCGCTACTACGGTCACGTGTCTCTGACGTCACGTTCCAAGAGTAGACGGGTCCATTCCGTGAACAAGGTTGATGGAGTCAACCGAAAATTTGGGTAAGTCCCTGTAATCTAAGTGTTGGGAGTTAAAGCATACTTTTTTAGTCTTTATTTCATAATGACTTGTACCAACACAGATGAACTTTCATGCTATGATTTAATGGCATTGTGCACAAAATACCATGACCAAATAATAGGGATAATATGTAAGGAACAGCTCAAAATGTGTTTCCAGCCAGTCATTGGCATTTTCTAACTCACATTTGTGCACATTACTGATGTCTATTGTTCTGTATTTTGTATGACCGCTGGTGATGTCAATCATAGAACAGCAGCGGATATATGATAGACTGAACCCAAGTTTTAAAACTTTTGTGACAGGCAGTTCACGTACACTCATCTACAATCCCTTTCTTCCTGTCCAAGTGCTAAAGTGTCAAAAAACCAATGGAACATTGAATGGGCCTCATATGTTCTGTACTAGTCTGAACATACGCCAAAAAAGCAGTTACTCAAGCAACTGGATATGATTTTGGAAACGGTCAGACGTTTCAGCTAGTATTCACTAGCTTTCGTCAGTTTGTGCTTATAAACCCGCAATTCTCCTCTGGTCTCTCAGTCACTGACGAAAGCTAGTGGATACAAGCTGAAACGTCTGACCGTTTCCAAAGTCATATCAAGTTGCTTGAGTAACTGCTTTTTTGGCGTATCATATTACCTGGATGTCTAACCTTCATCGACATAGTCTGAACATACTCCACTTACCTGAAGAACTATAGAACTCCGGCTTTTTGGTAACTGCCGTTAAGGGTACGTCATTCATGTCATTTCTGACCCTTTCATCGTTGTCCATCGTCGACTTTGTCATCACTTTAGACGGAATCGCATCTTCTTCAAACGTTTCCAAAGAATCTCTTCTAAGTGTGAATGTCTCCACGTCCTCGTCCTGCGGACAGTCAAAGTCTCTTGGTTTGGAATTGTCTAGTGGCGGCATCTTGTGAGTTTTAAAACCGTCTGGTTTGTAAAAATCGGGAGACCTTTCTGCTGGCAGTACTGTTGAAGTTTTCAGTACAGATGGAGGAGGCAGCGGCTTTCTGACAGGAGGCCGCCTGTCGCCCCTGCCCGGCATGTCGTTTGAGTTCCAGATCGGTGACAGGTCGCAGGAACTCCCGTCTAGTGACACAAAACTTGCGGTAGATCCGACGTGCTCAGGATCCAGCCTATTTCGCACAAGTCTGGGAGGGATGCGGGCTGAATCAAGAGGTTTAAGAAAGACCGGTGGTCTCCGAGACGCGCTCTCTTCATCTTCAGTGACGTCAGGTGTCTTGTCCTCTGACATCGGAAGTGTTTGTACGCCACACGCCGTCAGCTCTATACTGTCCTGTGTGGACCCTGGCAGCGGAGCTTCAGGTGCCCATGTCTCCACAACAGACGACCTTCTGGACTCAGAAGTCTGTTGGAAGGATCCCAGTTCTTCTAAGGTAATTCTCGGCTGGACGGCTGTTGACGTATCTGTGTAATAAAGTCAACAAATCAGGTCAAACAACTCAACATCTGTATCATACAATGGCATCATTCACATGTCTCATCCACTGTAAAAAATAACAAGAACAGAAAAGTACGACCAATTTTGATGGCTCTTAAGCTTATTTTTATTTTGAACCATTTCGATAAAGTTACTGATATGTAACAGTGGAGTTAAAGCTTGAAGCGCCATTAACTGACCCAGTCCAATGGGTCCGGACCTTTTGGCCGAGCGGTTATGGTGCTGGGTTGTAACCTGGCTGACCGCGTTCAGTGTGAGTTTTCCAGGGGTTTTCCTGTTTCTACTTGCCTCTAGTGTTTCAACTAGTTTCTGTTTTGCGTTGCTGTCAGGTGAATAGAAGGGATGTATGAAAATAAGTTGATTATTACCATTTGAACAGCTCTCCGCTCTTCCAACAAACAATCTTAATCCGGATCTTTTCGGCGGCAGGACGTCTAGCGGCCGAGCAGCTGATCTCTGAGCGGCGGCAGACTTCCGTCTGTCCGGCCCGTCCACACGGGACGGTGCGTGTGTTTGGGAACGGGCTTTCTTTGCATCGCTGACATTCCTGCTTACAGGAACGTTCGTCATACACTTTGTTTTTCCTTTACACATGTTCGCCTGGGTTGTTTCTTTCAGAGCCACCGTCTGCAAACGGAATGGTAAACATTATGTCAACTAGAAATACAAGATTTGCTAGCAAATGCAGATTATTCCATCCAGGTGACTGCAAGTGTAGCCATTATTGTAGAAAACGTCCTAAAATCTTTGAAAGGGCTGTGGATGGAAAGGATAAGGAGGGGTAAACTATGCATATCCTAATGGCTTTCCAATACCACAAACACATGCATAGACACACATGGAGACACACGCACGTACAAACACACACACGCGCACACACGCACACACACGCACACACACACACACACACACACACACACACACACACACACACACACACACACACACACACACAAAGACACACATAGACACACACACAGACACAAAGACACACATAGACACACACACACACACACACACAAAGACACACATAGACACACACACAGACACAAAGACACACATAGACACACACACACACACACACACACACACACACACAAAGACACACAGAGACACACCCAGAGACACAAAGACACACATAGACACACACACACACACGCGGTCTACTTACAGTCTATCTTGAGAACTTCATTTTTGACTATCGCAATCGGTAAAGTCTCAAATAATTCACTATTATTCACTACTAAGCACATTCCGAAATGACACAGAAATCCCTTGTTGATTAGGATAATGCCACCACGGGAAAAGTTGTGTTTTTCTGGACACGTTTACCTCGACATTTGTCTTTTCTCTGCAGCCGAAAATCTCGCAGCAGCCGCACAGGACAGCAGTCACTCCCGCCGCCCCTGCCTCCACTACACATGCGCAGATGATCCCTATCTCCAGGTGAAGGTGCCAGTCGTGAGTTGACGTGTCTCCAGATCCGGCCCGTGTCTGACAGGTCTGGACGGAATGTGAAGAAAGATATTATTAAAGACATAAACAGTAAGCCGCGCAGTTTTGTAGTGACGGAAGCAAGGTTTCATATTCCGGTCCTCTAACGATGACTGAACCCATTTCTTTGGTACACCTTGTCAATCTTGTTGTCTCCGTATGTTGTGGCCTTGTTTGCATTGTTTTGGTTGTGTATGTGTGTGTGTGTGTGTGTGTGTGTGTGCGTTCGTGCGCGTGTGTGTGTGTGTGTGTGCGTGTTTCTGTGTGTGTGCGTTTGTAAGTGTATGTGTGTATGTGCGTGCGTGTGTTTGTGTATGTGCGTGCGTGCGCGTGTGTATGTGTGTGTGTGTGTGTGTGTGTGTATGTGTGTGTGTGTGTGTGTGTGTGTATGTGTGTGTGTGTGTGCGCGCGTGTCTTTTTCTATGTTCATCATAACTCAATAATTTGTGGATATTTGAAATGTGGGTAGGTGTCCCCAAAACGAAGGCTGAGATCGAGGTCAATTAACTTGTTATGGTACTGCAACAGGACTTCCGGGTTTTGTATCTTTTGATCTGAAGAATGTTCGGCCACCAAACTGAAGTGATAGATAGCTCTTTAGCTGACAATGAAGTGACAGGTAGTTTGGATCTCCTAGCACCTTTTTCTGGAACTGCAGAGGCGTTTTTGTCGGAATAACTAATTTGATATTACTCCAGACGTTATGGACGGATTAGCGTATTTTGGGGTTTAGGTTATTGGAGATGCACATGATTAGTAATAACGACTTAATTTGATTGAGTGGTGAGGGTATCGAGGTGGCGTGTATGGGCATCAGGAATACTAGTCAAGTTTGAACTTTTTACATTGAATTAAAATCTAACAACAAGAACTAACAAATATAAGAATAACATCATTGTACTTATCATGAAAGTTCATCTGTGTTGGTAGTAATCATAGTAAAACGTTAAACTTTATTCCAACACACAGTTTACAGAGAGATCAAATTTTTTTATCCTGATGAAGGCGACAGTGGTCGCTGAAAATTTGATCTCTCTGTAAACTGTGTGTTGGAATAAAGTTTAACGTTTTACTATGATTGTACTTACGTGCAGCACGCCAAGAACAGCTGAGATACAGGCCAGCGGCGCGAGGAGCAGGCAGTTCAGCGTGGACTGGATCGTCAGGAGACCCATCTGGAATAACAACATGACATAGTTTATTGAGCTAGCTAGCGCGGATACTGCGTGAGAAGCCGAGTATCCTGGACAGGCATGGAGATCTGACAGCGAGGAAACAGTCGGGTCGGCTGCACGGGATAGGCCGGGATACTCTATTCGGGACGCGCTCAGAATGAGACAGGATTTTCAGAATGAGACTGGATTTTCAGAATGAGACAGGATTTTCATTCCGGCTCCTTCCACCTGTAGTCTGTCTAGTCTGTCGGGGTTTGAATCACGTGGTGCGCGATGATACGTACATCAGAAGTGCTACATCTGTACTCAGCCAAGTGTGGCAGAAATATACAATAAAGGTCGTCAGTCATTACTGCTAGTACGCCAAAAAGCAGTTACTCAAGCAACTGGATATGATTTTGGAAACAGTTAGACGTTTAAGCTAGTATCCACTAACTTTCGTCAGTGACTGGGTTCTCAGCTCTCAGTGCTGCTTTTTTGCTCTCAAAACTGCTTATTGGCGTATCGTATTACCTGGATGTCTAACCTTCATCGACGTATTACTACTAGTATATTGTCAGTTTAGTTCGCTAGTGGAGTAATACTGGTCACCCAGCAAGCCGTTTTACTGGTCCGAGGCAGCGATGATAAAGTCTTGTCCTCTGATGGCAAGTCACAACAGATGGAGTTTCTTTTTCACAGATTGGAAGCTTCTCTGCAGCTGGGACAACTTTTATTTTCAAAGCGGTCTAGTCTACCGTAGACTGAACTGCCAAAGAAGAGAAGAAGAAGAGTTATGAAAAGCGTGTTGAGTAAACTATAATTTTCACCACAGTGAAAGTTTCAATAACCGAAATACAGCGGCAACAGATGGTATTTAGAGGTCACATCTAACAGCAAGGCCCCATTTTCCATCGAAATTTTCCTGTTTGTTTTTGTTGACAGAATGAAAGCTCCTCGGCCTGAGGCCAACCCTAACTACGATATCGAAATCGTAAGAAACTCCGGTACGATACCTGCGTCACATGTTAAAAAGTTCTATCATGGAAGTGTAATTACAGAACAAAAATCATCAACCATTTATTGAGTATTTCTCCGACAAAACTTCCACCGTAGTTTTAGAAAAGCTGTCAAAGGACATAAACGTGAGGATAAACTAAAAAGGTATCTGCTACCCAAGAGCCACATTCACATTCATATCATTAGAAACAAAAATTGGACGCTCTGCTGCAGTACCAGTATTGAACTTATCCTTCATGTTGTAGACACTTACCAACACACCAAATATCACGATGATTGATGACCCATCCCAACACACCCAAAAACGGCACTAAAAACGAGCTACGTCAGGAGTCTCTTTGTTTTTGAGGATCATTAACAGATAGCTAGAACCAGCCTATGGTACAATCAATCGTTTCCTGTTACCTACATCATATTTTGTCTCACTAGTATTAGTTTGCTATGGGCTAATTCAACTTACTACATTAAAAAATGAAGAAAGAAATTGACTTGAAAAATCCGTGTTTGCCGCCCTGAAATTGCATCAGATTTGTGGTGGCAAAAGCTGAATGCGCCTCGTTTGGGCTGTTTTTATGCCAACCATAAATGTGAGATAATTTCACAATACGTTGAACTTAGAAGCAAATTACAGTCACATTAATATTTTTATATAAAATATTTCAATATATGGTGCAAAAATGTTACCTCATGCCCTTTTGATACGGAGCGAAATCCAAATCTCAAAGGCCAAACATTCCATTGTCTACCCGGACCGTTACAGGGTTTGAGCTTGCACATGTACCATGAACCTGTCACGGGATGTCAGGTTCATGGTAGCGGGTGTCAATACAAGATGCACGAGTGGTTCTGAGTAGACTTGTGTCCCTTTGTGTCATAGGGGAGTCACATATTCATCAATGTCTTTACCGAGTACATATAGAAACAGTATATTGCCGTTAAAACAAATGATGCTGTTAAACAAATATTATCTGAGAGAGACATGAAGAAATCTGAAATTCATTCACTACCCAGCTAACTTACATGTTCTAAAGATTTCTTGTTATTTATGCAAATGAGGTCCCTACTGAATAAAGTTGATATTTGTCCTCTCTTTCAAAGTAACCCACGTACCAACTTTCATGACAGTCCAGTCACAGGTTCTCTCGTTCTCGTGAGGAAATCTATCTGATATTGCCATTTCTTTGTATCTCTTCGTCATCATTTCATACTTGAAACAGTCTCAAATACCTGCTATGTGAGGCGTATCTTTATTTTTTTTGGGTGCCGCCCATGCCGGAACAAGCCTGAGACACAAAACAAGCAACCATTTTCCGTCACATTTTTGCCTCACAGATATCAGTAAGCTATGGGATAGGATTGATTCAACTTACTACATCAAAATAAAGTTTTGCGGCCCTGACATGTCATTTGATGCCTTTAACAACAAGCATACACAAAATGGCAATGCTGCAAAGAAGAAAGACAAACGAAGCTAAAACAAACCACGGTGTCCGGTTACAGCCGGCACACAGCGGGCATACTCGACCAGGCGTGTAAGCACTACTAGACAGGCAGCTGTGCCATGTTACGTCAAGTGTTCTGAGTACCCAATGTATCATCTACTGAGTCACTTTCGGAACAAACAGACATAGCGAGGATCTTCCTTCCACCATCTTTTACCTCCTTAACCGAAGCCAGGTACCTACTAGTATTTTACACCTGGATGAAGTGAGGAAAGTCGTGCAAAGTGCCTTTCCCAAGGGCACGAGATCGGTGACATGGCAGGATTTCAACCAAATACCTCTGGATTCTGGGTCAAACTCCCTGCCGTTATACCACAGGACCGTACTATTTGTTACTTAGGTTCCAAATAAACAAGGTGATTTGGGGTATTTATGTCGTATTGTCATATTACGGTAAAATAATTCTACACCCCCTTGCTGTTTGCCGTGTGGTATCGTCTGTTATGTCCCCTGTATGAGCTAAGCCGATCTGGTTCCAACAACTTCCACAAGAATGGGGGTGTACAGGTCACAAAACATGGTTGTTATTTATCTCGGTGCGACAGTTTCAAATATATTTCAAATGGACTTATACCACACAACTTTCAGGAAGTTATTTTAACCTGTATTGTGATGTTTCCATTTTGTACACACATGTTGTGAAGTTACTACCCACTGACGGTGTTGTTAATGTGTGTGTGTCTTATTGACTTTCTAATATTTGTTGTGGACATTGCCAAAGCTGCTTACTGTTTTAATTCTTCTCCCTCTTGGGCCCTTGTCGTCTTGCCAGACTATCTACAGCTTTAGTTATGTTTTAATTATAATTTTATTGCTGTTGATGTGATGTCTGAAAGTGTCATTAGTCGTTGTGAACCTAATGCGTTATATAATGTCCGGAGGTTTGGAATCTCAGATTTCTTATATTTACAGACTTTATATACACTGTATATATCGGTATCCAATACAATTTCAGGGCGGCAAAATAAAAATATACATATGACTAAATCTGTCTGATATTGGTACTTTTTAAAAAACATTTTTGTCATCATTTCATACTTGAAGCGTTTAAAATATCCCCCAAACAACCTACGCTATTTTCTGGAACCACAGATAAATAGCAAGAACCATCTTACAAGCAACCATTTTCCGTCAGTGACATCGAATTTTTGCCTCACAGATAACAGTATGATATGGGATAGGATTGACTCAACTTACTACACATTAGAATGGGCAGAAACTTGACTAAAGAATCCAGTATTGTCGCCGTGAAATTGCATTGGATGCCTTAAACAACCATGTTGATCGATATTTACTCATTTGACTTCTCAGATGAAAATTTTGTCAGATATGACGAGTTCTCTCACCATGCAGGCGGCACACGTGTCGTCCAACGTGAGGAGCAGGCCAAGGGCGCCAACCAGCACAAACTGTCCGCGAGAGAAAACAAACAAACAAATAAATAAACAAACAAACAAAAATCATACTACTTCATTAGCAAGACCTCACGCTAATATTTCTGAATCTCAGAAAAAAGTGACAATATGAAACATGAACTTATTCGAAGTCCATTCTTAATTCCAAATACTCAGGATGTTGGTATCAGTTGGAATGCTATACAGGAATATTGAGAATGCAATTATACTGCAGTTAGAACACACTTTGAATGCTCTTCGATATTTCCCACCTGGGAAGTTTTGAGGATGATCAAAACATTCGGACCAGCAACAATATCAAATGGGCACAAATATTTGGAATGTAGTGAGAATTTCTCGAATACACTTCAAATTCCCAGGAATATACAAGGTTTTTTCTTTCAAGGAAGTATTATTTTACATAACCACGCTCTTAGCTACAGATAAAACATATCTACAGACCTGAGGCAACTTACAGATATGTGCCCTATGTAGCACAGATTATTTCTCGTATATATATAGGACTGTTCAGCCATAGCTGAAGCTCGTATATGGTTGATACTAATTAGGATTTTACTGACTGAATACTGGCCAATACGGACTGAAGGTGGCCATATGCATACCTATATATATATACAGGTATCCACTGAAATGTTTTCAGGGACATTCTTTGTGTTTAAGTGAGAAACATACGGATTATTGCAAGTCCGTGAACAACTGTGAACCAGCTGTGAGAAAGGACACTTGTCATAATTGAAAACTCGCCGGACAGATGTCGAGAAGGGAAATTTCGACGTTTCTTGTAGTTTTCACTCGCCTACGTGTACATAGCAATTTCGTCCTGTTGCTGGTTTCTGACCTAAACTGGGAAGCTGAATTTCGCTCTGAGCGTCTGCACACGACAGCCAAAACACATGAGCGCTGAATACAGCAAAGAACGTGCGGGTAGAAATTAAACAATACTGTGCATTGGCATTTACTGATGACAAACGAGACAACAACAAAAAACAACAATCGGGGCACTTCTGGTATTTGTTGAGGCAGCACATTTTGAGTAACATTACACTGGCAGTTCTGTGCCGAAAATCGATGCCACTACAGAAATCTGGCGTTTTGATAACTGTTCAGAAAGGCGCTGCAGGAAAGTTTGTACTGTGAACCGCCGCTGTGGTGTAATGGTCACAATCAGCTGATGACCTCAGTGTTGTTTCCAGGTGAAAATAGTTCAGATATACATATCAAATTATCCCTGCTGTGCATGTTGACAGTCAATTCTCAGGACTCTTTCAATGCAGCGAACCCGCGAACACAAGCGTATACGTAATGCAACAGGCTATACGGGACACCTTTCTTTAATACAAGAGAAAAAATGTTCTCTATCTGTATCTGTATAGCCGGTATAACCACCCTCCTGTCTTTGGTAATCTCTTTCTGACATTGTGAATTATACATTTTTGTGATACATGCTGTAAGAGTACAAAATCTCAAGACAAATTCTCCAGCTATGATGCGTTGAGTTTAGTCGAAGGAAAACAGAATAACAGGCATGTTTTATGATGTTGTATGTGAATCTTGACAAACTGGTGTAGTTTCCGCGACATGTTTCTCAACATGAACAGTTTAATGCGTGTTGAACAACGTTTAGCACTTATAATACATGGACTGTTATCAGATATCAGCGGCATACATGAGTGATAGGAAACTGGTCGGCTCAGTCGTTTATATTAATTCAAGGGGTTTGATACTTTTGCATGGGAATAGAATTTCCTAGCGTTAGAGAATAGTTAATAGCGATTTTGCTTTATGTTAACTTATGTTTCATGAAATTTAACCTGCGAAAGGAGAAATGGAATGATACCTACCATGATTCCGCATCCAATGGGAAGAGTGCTGACTCCCGGGTACGGTGTCCATGCTGTCAGTATCTCCAGCGTGCCGAGCCACACCGCCACCACCCCGCACACGGCCTGACACGCGCCCAGACCCCGCAGCAGCACCAGGGAACACATCTCCGGGCCAGGCTCTACCCCATACCGCAGTCCTGACGATCTGCAGACGGCGCCGTCCTGCCTCACGTCGTGATATCGGCCCGGCCCGCTGCTGAGGACGTGATTGGCAGACTGGGATTGAGAAAAGAAAACAGCGTCCATTCACCTCACATTAAGAGCTCGTTACTCTAGCAACCATATTCAACAGCACATTCTCGACCACGGGTATTTCGGGAAGAGGATGAAAAGGCTTCCTTGTGCTGAATGGGTCCGTCGGTCCGTGTGTGTTTTACCAAGGAGGATATTGTGCAGCGGCTAGGTGAGCCGTGATTTTCTGGACGCGGCGGCCTTAAAGGCAGTGTTGACCAACGGACTTTAGCAATTAGAAACACCCATTCCTGCGCTATTGTTGCACTGTCAGTAACAGCTCGTGTGCTTGCACAAGTGTGAGCTCGTTTTTTTTTACTTAAATACATACAAGTCTCAGCATCTATATAGACGGGTGAACCATTTTATAGGCTAACATGCGACACTTCAATCATGGTTCCCTCACAAGAAACATTGTAAATATACGCAGGGACATTATATACGTCTACATCTGTATCTGATGTCATTCGTAAACACAAATACGGACAATGACATGTACTTAAAAACAAATCACTTCATGGTTTCTCTTGGTACACTGTACTTCATTTTTCCAGCCGGCGCCTGTTGTCTAGAAAGTTGTTATGAAGAAAAATCCCTTCAGATATGTTTTAGAGCTACAGTGAATAGACTCACAGATCTTTCGGACCTCCTTAAGGCCTGCCTCATTCATTAGCCGTTAAAGAGGCCCATGCACCACTACCTACACCCAAAGGTTCCATACCTCAAGTGCTCCCAATTTTCCCCCTGACTTGAGAAACGCGTCGTTCCGCCTTCCTTGCCTCTTTTGTTGCAGGCACTTGGCGAAAAATCAGGGCCGATTAGTGTGTACACAAGTATATTGACATTGCCACGTAATTGTGCTTAAGAACACAGCTGATATGTGCCTATTGACCTCACCGGCCTGCCTGTAGGACTCGACCATTTTGACAAGGAGGGGGTGTTCGAAAACGACAATCAGAAAAAAGGAAGTTATAGAAATTATCATCATGAGTCTGTAGATGACAGGTTTAGTCCACGGCAGATGGTCTGACGCTAGCGAAGCAATGTTGAGTAATAATAAACCAAGGAAATAGGATGTGTGAATAAACAATAACGATATTTTCAGCACATAATATTTGATGTGACCGGGTATTAACAAACAACAGTATTTACCACATCACCAAAACCAGTCCGCTGATTCAGCATGTGCGACTGAGACAGCTGAACTTTCTGGGACACATTCTGCGCATGCCTGAGAATGGACCTGTTAGACTGTACGCCCTCTACGTGCCCTCTCATGGCAGACGCAGGCGAGGCCGACAGCCTACCTCCTACTTCAAGTACGTTTTGTTTGTTTGTTTGTTTGTTTATTTGCACAACAGCAACAAAACTTATTCATAATACACTAATAATAAATAAAACAGGTGCAGGAGGAGGGAAAAAGCTTATTTAGCTTATGCTAAGCCTCCTCCTCTATACTAACCCAAAGTAAACATAATTGAATTGAAATAATGCATACATACATAAGGAATTGTTATCAAAATAATTCAAACATGGGCAATAATGAAACAAAAGTATACATAAATTGAGATGAAATGAAATTGATAAAGTACGTCCAACAACTTCTGGGAGATGACTACAACCAACTGACAGAGAAGCATTTACCATTATGCTTTGATATCTGAATGATTATAATTACTTCTATGTTACCTTATTTCATTTGATTGTTGATGAATTAGTTACGATTTCCTCTTGTTCACGATAAGTTTATCTATTTTTAGTTGACCTTTGTTAGTTCATCTTTAATCTTTTGTTATAATTATAATGTCATGTAGTTTTTTGTTGGGGTTATCCCCCCAGGAATCTTTTAAAACCGCCAATAGGCGACATGTATTTCCTGGTTAAATAAATAAATGAACAAACAAACAAACAAACAAACAAACAAACAAACAAGCAGATAGCCAACCTTGCTCGCGACAAGGGGCGGTGGAGGGATCTTGCAGCCGACCGATGATGACGATGTTGAATATTTGATGTAACGTTTATTAATACGAAGAGTAAAATAAATTGTTGATTAAATCCAAGCGCCTGTCTATTCCTGCACTTTCGGACAACGTGAATACCTCTTGTTCAGTACATGACTTGTACCTCCGAAAGTGTGGGTAGTTTGATCCATAGATACGACCCGTATGTACATGTACGTAGTTCGTCATCCCATCTTGAAGGTTTGGAATAGTCCCCAAAGCCGTTGTAAAGCATTTGTGTCGTTAACGTAGCCAACGTCCTCCAAGCAGACGTCGTTCGCTTTTTTGACCTGTGTACGGCCGATTTCGTTTCAGACTTTTAGGGAGGCTGACGGTTGCCATGGTTTATATAATATATATGTCGGGAGTACCGAATTAGGCAATCAGATACAAATTATACAAATCAGAAACTACTTTGCATAAAGTGGAAAATTTCATGAATCCACAGCATTTCTTGATAGGGCTCTCAAACATACATGTATGTTATATGTAACTGAGATACAGAGGGATATCCATAGATATTATACAGATGAGGATTTAATTTGCATAATTGATACGAAAACACTATGATTCCATAATCTTTTATGGTAAATGATAGCAATTTCAGTTACGTTAAGTTTAGCATTGATAGACATAAACCATGCAAATCAGGGTCTCATGTATATAATCTATGAGGAAATGCTACTAACAAGTCTTCTTCGCTAAGATAGGACTATCCAGAAATGGACACAACACTCCACATCAATGTGGCATCATCTGCGTCTTTCTCAGTCCAAACTAAAACACTCAACAATAACAAGTTGTGCTGTGCTCTTTATTCAAAATGTTCAAAACTCACCAAACTTTTCTTAACATTTACTGTACAAAATAAACTCTTAGTAACCAAAACACAGGTAAACTAATAAAGTATCTAACAGTAAAATTTGTACATTCAAATCTGAGATGACAACACACTTATCTTTTTGAGGATTTCCTTGTGTTGAATAAAATTTGCGATTTAATATTCCACAGATTTCATACAACATTAACATCAAAGATAAAGTAACTTCTGATGTTAAGGGCACTGAGTTAGTTAGTTCTATAATTATCATTTTAACTAGTTATTGACAGTAAAGTCAGTTGAAGGAGTACATTTTGTACATGTACCTGAAGTTCAGGTCTGGTGTCTACATGTATATGAATTCATAGCTCGAAGTGGTCAATATTGTTAGTTGTTTCCTTAAATTTATCCTTCACAATGCAACTGTTACAGAACTGTTGGAACAAACATTATTATGGAGATGTAATATTAAGTGGCTCTACAGGCTGCCCACACCAGGCAACTGTTGGACTGTGTTGTATGTACAGTTATGGCTATGTTGTAAACATATGTCCATGCTGGCTGTAGGAGCCAACAGTCCGACTTGACAGGCAATAAGGAATCCATGTTCTCAATGATGAAATACAAAATATAGATTGGAATGTGTGCTGAATTCTAAAGGCATCTAAATAAATTTCATGGTGCCCGTGATGATATTTGAAGCATTTGAAAAAGCTCAAAAATAATAGCCTGGAATCCATCCGTGAACACTTTATCTCCGCTCCGTTCCTCCACTCAGGCAGAGCAGAGGAACGGAGCGAAGATAAAGCGTTCACGGATGGATTCCAGGCTACAAAAATAAGCTATTTGAGGAGTCTCTTTATTGTTTGGGTACCACAAATTTATAGCTAGCACCAGCCTACAAATAGTACAATACAAAAGGACCATTTTTCCTCAGTGACATCAAATTTTGTCTCACAGTACAAAAAATTTTATGGAATAACATTAATTCAACTTAATACATTAAGAGGCTTTGAAAATCCAGTTTTGCTACCCTGAAATTGCATTGGAATGCCTTTAAAAATAAGCTGTACAGTGGAAACCCAGGGCTTCAGAAGTTAGCTTTAGTTCCCTGTCTATTCTGACTGTGTGTCCATCAGCCATTTAACACAACTCCAACAACCCATGGATCAAATTGATTGGTTGACGGACACTCTGACAGGTACTTTGAGTGACATGAAGTGAAAACACACTGTTAGCAACAAACACATCTTCTTATACAACACTTCACCTGAAATATATCTTACAACTTTGGAACAAACAGTATTGGCTTAAAACCTGGAAGAATAAGAATATTCTCTGGTATTATATAGCATTCATCACAAATCCAGCACATCAAGCTTGGCTTGAAACAGCCTACAAAAGAGCACGTCAGCAGAATGTACTGCACCTGCACAAAACCTGTAATGTATTGTGCATAGCACTTCGTCAGAACGTCTCATATAAGGTTGTATTTGCTCATATAAGGTTAGCATTCCGACAGTAGTTTCCAAATGTTATGTCGGAAAAGACATCGTCTGCAACAGGCAAAATACTGATGCAACATTGACCAAAAATCCAACGAAAACCGTGAAAATCCAGTGCGCAGGCGCAGTACGTTCTGCCGACATGCTATACAGAAGCCCTGATGTCTACCCTGGGTGCCAGCCTTTTTGTCTCTGACCCACATCCTCCAAGCAGATGTCGTTTATCTGATCTCCAAGCAGATGTTGCTACAATGTATTTGAGTGTCTGTGTTGGCAGGGGTCAATCTTGTTACAGACTTTAAAAGAGAATAAACCCCAAAGGGGTTGACGGATTGCCATGATATATGAAGAGTGATGAATTAGACAATTAGATTTGAATCATGTGAATCAGAAACTAATTTGCATAATTAAGGGAAAAGTGTATAATCCACTGCAAGAGAAGGGTTGCCAGGATTCAGCATGAGTTTTGGTAGGTGTATTGTATGACTAATTTTTTTGTTCAGAAAGTGCAAGTAGCTCTGTTACAAAATGGATGGCACCCAGGTTACCTAGCACATCAGCAGAACGTACTGCACCTGTGCAAAACCCCAATTTTTCAAGTTTTTATTGGATGTTTGCTCGAAGTTGCATCAGATTTTTGCCTGTTGCAGACAGTATCTTTCCCAACACAACATTTGGAAAATACAGACGGAGTGTTAACCTTATATCCACAAATATGACCTTAGGCCACACCAATTTAATTTGTTGATTCTCGGATTCGCCTCTTCATTTTTTTCTGATTTACAAAGAAGAAAAAAATTCTGGTTCTCAATCAAACTCAAATATGCATATTTTGCCCCCAACAGTTGATGAAAGTCCTCTTCTTCCTAGTTGTTAAAGTTTTTCCATCTATCAATGCAGTTGTTTGATTAAAAGTTCAAAATTCATAAACCCAGCCTTTTGTGTTGCCTTCAAGGCTCCTGTCATAGCATTTGGAGCTATAATAGGATGCCTACATTGTAGATCTGTATTTATTATTTTTTTTTCGCCCTGTCGCTTCATATTTCTGAAAAAATCCGAGAACCAACAAATTAAATTGGTGTGGCCTTATATGAGACGTTCTTGCACAGATGCAGTACGCTCTGCTGACGTTCTGTGCACCCTGATCCCCGTCCCCAGTCCTGACCCATGTCTAGCTGCCTGTCTTCTCCAGTATGTACACCATGTTAGCCGCTCCGATGGCCACTTTGGGGACATTTCCATGGCGACTGTTGTCTGAACAGTACACTCCGCCTGGGAGATCCACCAGCCGACCTGTAGTCTGAAACAAAAATGGAAAACAATTTGTTACTTTGACATATATAAAATAGTTATTCCAACCTAAAACATGGAGCACACTACTGTTTTTTCATGATAAAAGTAAAATCATCACATGTACAATGTATGTTTCATGTCTTGAAAGTTCATCTGTGTTAGTAGAAGTCATTATGAAACAAATTTGAAAGCAATTGACAAAACATTAGAAATTTGACTCGCCCAAATTTTCAACTGTACAACTTCAGTCTTTGTCAAGGAATGAACAATCCACCGCTTCCGTGACGTCACACAGATAACACACGTGACTCCATGAGCAGTGGATCATAGGTTGCAGAAGATGTTAATGATACATCAGGGCATTACAACCATCCTTCAACAGAGACGGGGGGCGCCACAGACTATCTGCAACCTATGATCCACTGCTCACGGAGTCACGTGTGTTATCTGCGTGACGTCACAGAAGCGGTGGATTGCTCATTCCTTGACTAAAACTGGAGTTGTACATTTGAAAATTAGGGTCCAATTTCTTGTGTTGGCAATTGCAGTTCAAATATGCTTCATAATGACTTCATAATGTATGTATCATATACTACTGCATTCTGAAGTCTCTCCCCAATGTTGCAAAACTTTAAACTGAACAGAATTGAACTGAACTGAACATATTTGACTCAAATTTGACTTAAATTTGATTAAGATTGATAAGGACAGGTATAATGTACATGTAGGCCTGAATCTGGTCAAACTTCTCCAGAACTTCAGTGAAGCAATGACTCCCTCGCAAACCTAGGACACACAGTGGAAACATACTAGAATGTGTTTCCCCTATGTTTCCACTGTGTGACCAAAGGAAACACACAGGAAACACAATGGAAACATATAGATAATCCGTGACCAACTTCTCCGCTCATGGAAACACAAGGAGCTGTCACAGGATTCTGACTGGAGCAGAAAATCATTTCCAATGTGTCTCCTTCTGGCCAATTAGAGACTGTGTTTCCAGTGTGTTTCCTCTGTGTGTCTTGGTTTAAATTAATCACTCCTAGGAGCAGAGCCCAGCAGCATTTCTCAGAAATTGTGATGCAATGTCAGACAGACTCCAGCCCCTCGCCTACATATATATACAGAATGAAACAATGTCTTCAGTGTTCCAAATTTTTGCCTGTAGTTATATATACGTATACCTATACAAGGGGCAGAATTTCTAGTCATCATTTATAAATCAAGTACATTTGTAACTGTGCTCTATCACCAGTGTTTCTAAACCTGTATCTGGATGGGTATGCATTGCCTTGAAAGAGAATTGGTCCTTTTAGTTCCTTAGAACACACAATAAGGGACAAAAAGGATAGTCTGTATCATGTGACTTGTGTGACCACATGGTCAGGTGGTCTGTCATGGCACCACTACACAATTCATTCCTTCACTGTTCTGTCTATGCCTTGGCAGTGCATGGATAATTGATTTTTCACCCATAACAAGCCCCAGGGATAAGGCAGGAGCCTGCTGTCCTTCAGCTTTGCTGGGCTCTGCTCCTAGGAGTGATTAATTACCAGGACACACAGAGGAAACACACTGGAAACACAGTCTCTAATTGGCGAGAAGGAAACACATTGGAAACCCTTCCACTATACGTCCTCTAAAACAAACATTAGGGACCCTCTGACACTGGTAGAGCCGAAAATGTCTATAAAATGTTAAACGGACAATAGACCCTTTTTGGACATTCTCGAAAATTCCGGACATTTTTCAAACATTTCTAAGAATGTCTGAACAGGGGCTTTACTGTGTCTTTTTGGGGAGGACTTGCTTGTTGCGTTTTCCATTGTTCTTGAGGTGTCAGAATGTCTTTAGAAAAAAAGTGTGAAAACTGGCATGCATATGAAAAGCACTGCACAAAGCCAAGACAATTTATAGGGGAGGACACCATTAATTAATAGACAGATGCTAATATCTCTAAGTGCTCATTGTGCTAAACAAAGGATTGTCTCCTAGGGGTGTCCCTACCTGACGTGTGAAGAGACTATGGATATAAAATGTCCACCTTGGGTTATTTTGATGTCGTTTTTCAGTAACTATGTCTACTAAATGTTCTCCCGACTGGCCTTTGTTCAGCAATGTCTAAATCATGTCTATTGTCCATTTAACATTTTATAGACATTTTTGGCTCTACCAGTGTGAAGAGGGAAAAAGGAGAGGACACACAGAGGAAACATAGTTTTTACCCTCTTCTGTCCAGAGTGTTTCCCCTGTGTTTCCCCTGTATTTCCACTATGTGTCCGAGGTTTGGAATTTGTTGGTTGGTGGTTGATCGAAGGAATCTGAATGTGTGACGGGGGTTAAGGGTAGCTAAAAGTACAATGTATGGAGGCTGGCACTGTGGCTATGGGATACACAGTGTGCTATTCTGTATGACTACGTTCTACAGATCAGTAGTGGTCGTGTGGAGTAGATGGTGCCTACCTGCAGTGTTCCCCTGTCCACTATCCGAGCCATGTTCTGGTCACTTCCACCAGCTGTGATACAGGACCTGCCTAACCACTGACAACAGTACACCTGCAACAAGTAACAAAATTTATCAATACATATGTTACAAAAGAAAGGAACATTAAGGTATCTCAGATTAGCTCACTGAAGAGCTAATCTCTCACTGGTCCTGACAGAGAAGACAGACTCTTTCTACAGTATTTACAGTTTCACTGTACCATGGAAATTCCCCTGGTTCTTTTTGACAAGCACAATTCACAATTCCGCATGCCTGTGGACAAAATGCCTGTACCATTCCTAGAATTGTTGCAAACTGCAACAATACTGTACCATTAGGCTCCTCCCTGAGACGTCGCCAAAAACACAACATATTATTTTTGTTTAAAAACATAAAAACACAGACAGAATGCGCTGACAGACCAGACAGGAGTTGAAGTCAGGCGGGATGTCTTTGATCTTCTCGGTGGAGTTGAAGTCCCAGACCTGCAGGGCGCCGTCCTTACGCCACGACCCCGTCAGCACGTGGTTATGCTCAGGGTCGATGTCCAGCCCTTCTCCGCAGATGTGAGGTCCAAAAATCTTCCTGTGGAGAAGGTAAAGATAAAATGTGGAGGTATTCCCATAGCCTTTAGACTGCAGGGGCAGTTGGGGTGGACACGGTATTGGAAGGCAGAACCCATCCCTCTCCTTCCACCATCTTTTACCTCACCAACCAAAGTCAGGTACCCATTTTTACACCTGGCTGCAGTGCAAAGGATCAGTGACATTAGGGGATTTGAAGCAAGGATCTTTGGATTGTAGGCCAAATGTTCTGCAGGTAAGCCACACAACCCCACAAAATACATTCATCAGATTTCTCAAGCATAACATTGGCAGAACGTACTGTGCCTGTGTGAAACCTGTATTGTATTATGCATAGCATTTTGATATATAGAACATCTCTGTTTAAGGACGTTTTGGTGTATCTAAGGATGACATGCTGTATTTAGTTTTCAAATTTTAGTGTTGCAAAATTCTGATGTAATGTAACGTTGGCTAAACGTCCAGCCAAATACAGAAAATCCTGGTTTGGTACAGACACGTTCTGCTGACATGCTGTCTTAAGCCAACTGTTCAACTCTATAGTCAAAAATAGCGTCCATATCCAATTTCCTTAGAATACATGTGTGCCAAATTTGGTGCTTTTAGACAAAGGTGCACAATCTTTCAGCTATGCCATGGGACTAAAGTAGAAAAGGCATTTGGTACAGTAATAACTATTCATAATACTTTAATATCAAGTAACAAAAACAGCTTACCTAACTGAATGTTTCACCCGGGTATCCCAAAACTGAAAAATAAACACAGGAATTTCAGTTAACAATGTTTGGTTCTGCAACTGCCCTTTGACTTGGATGACTGGGATAATATGAATACAACACAAAGTGTTCTGTAACATCCAAGGTATCAGCTCAACCCATGTGAGGGCTGGGACTGAGGGTGATGCAGAATACATGTGCACCGTGCTGTATTTTACATGTCATACCTACTCGAGAAAACATGCATTTTAATGCAAAATGTGCTAAAATTTGGTGTCACTAAACAAAACAATTGCTACAGTAACAACATCAAATCCAACGTCCGAATCCAGTATTCCAATTTTTGAAAGCGGTGCACTTGGTGAACACAAAACACATTCAAATTATTTTCTGGAACATTTGGATACTACAAGTTATCACATGGGCTGGAACAACCATCAAACATTATCATGGCCCAAGTATGAAATAATTCTAAGGTACCGGTATGCAGGGCTTGAAATACTGGGTATATGTGCGCCTTAGTGCACCCAAAATTGGAGCTGTGCACCCAATTCTGTGGGTGCACTGGTGCATACAATCAGTCATGTACATGTATATTTTTGTAGGTACATGTACATTATTTTTGTACATATTAAATGACTAGTACACAGGATATTCTTGGTATCTAAGTGTGAGAAAAATCTTTGTTTAAGATTTTGAAGTTAGCTTCGATTTCAGATTGAAGCTCAGAAGAGGAGCAGTAAGATCTGTAATTAAGATTTGTTTTATATGGCGCACCCTAAAAAAATTTTGTGCACCCAATTTTTTAGGTTGGGTGCACCAGTGCACCTCTTCCCAGAAATGAATTTTGAGCCCTGGTACTGGTATGTCTAACTTACATGTAGGGTCCATGTAGGTATTAAGTCATGTCTCTAACCTGGATTGTATCGTCCCATCCACCACTCAGGAACACACCAGGGTAGGTAACAGCATTGGGGTGATACACAACACTGAACACTCTCAACACATGGCCATCCATAACTGTCTTGTCTGGACTGGAAGTAAGAAATGCAGGAATACATGTTAGGGATTCAGACTTTACTCTGCTGTCAGAAGGTCATTATTAACAATATTATTGTGTGATTAGTTGCAAAAATACAATCAAATTGAATATATTTCTTAGTCAAGACCAGACAATTTCTATGTCTACAATAGTCAGGTTTAAAGAGCCTGTCACAGATAGCTGAATATGGCCTTATGCACAACTACTGCCAAACTCCCCAACCATGGTTGTGTTTCCTGTTTCAGTCCTAAAAAACTTAGGGTTGGTAGGTAGGGATTTTTTTCCTCTCTTTATTGTGATTGAACTTATACAATATAGTTTTAACAAATTAAATTGAAAGTAAAACTTGAATGACAACACCTAACTGTTACATTTTCAATGTCAATATTTGAAAACTGATTGTACATGTACAACATTTCATCACTCACATATCAGATCATGGAGCTAGAAAAGGTCGATCAGTTTGAAAAATTTATGTCCCTTGCAGGAGTCCACTAAAAAAATCCTAGGGTCGTCAGTTTTTACCTCCATGAAATGGAAGGTATTGTTTTTGGCGCGTCTGTGTGTGTGTGTGTGTGTGTGCATGTGTGTTTGTGTTTCCGCTTTTTTGTACCTTCATAAGTTCATAACGCCTTCATGGATTGTGGTGATATTTGGTATGCTGGTAGGTGTTAGGGGGGCGAAGGTCAAGGTCAAATATGGGCCTCCTGGTGGATGGCCTTGGTAGTGCAGTAGCACTTCCGGTTTAATGAGGAATCTCCTTTGCAGCCAACAGATGTGTCATTGTGTGGCTATCGAGTCAGTGCGCTTGGGACCCGGTTTGATTAATGGGGTTCCCTCAGGGGAATAGGTGACCTATTTCAGGGTTAGGGTTTGTATTAGCTGCAGGCCTGATTAGCTGTGTGTTTGAAACACTTAGTGTACTGTATACAAAAACTCATATATTTCATGGAGGCGTGTCTGTCTGTGTGTGTGAGACTGTATGTGTGTGTGTCTGTGTGTTTGTGTTTCCGCACATTTGTAGTCAGCATAACTCCATAACGCCTTTATGGATTGCGATGATATTTGGTACGCTGGTAAGTCTTAGGAAGACAAAGGTCAAGGTCAAATATGGGCCTCCTGGTGGATGACCTTGGTACTGCAGCAGAACTTCCGGTTTTTGTATCTTTTGTCGTAAACTTATGGTCTTGACTTTTTGGTGACAGATAGCTTTTCCTGTCAGGAATAAGTGGCGTGAGTTTGGTCCCCCTAGCAGCTTGTTTTGGAACTGCAGGAGATTTTCGGGCGAAATCTTTAAAAGCCAATAAGTCCAGATAGGTACAAGGTATTATCATCATTTTCGGTAGGTAGGTAGCTGAGAGAGAGATGTACATAATTAACTACAAGTTATGCAAATGATGACTTAATTTGCATAATTAATGAGGAAATTCTATAATTACAGTGTTTTACATTATAGTACTTTCATACATGTGATGTATGTAATCTATGGCAGATGGAACATCACAGATACCAATTATGCAAATGATGACCTAATTTGCATAATTAATGCGAAAATTCTATGACTCCTTAGTGGTAAATGATGGGAATTTCATACATGGTACATGTGTAAGTTAATCAAAAGTTAACATCACGATGCATTTATTATGTTAATGTGGAGGTAATTTACATAATTAAAGAAGAAATTTACATTTACATGTCAAGCCCATATTTCATGGAGGTATGAGATCTCGGAACTCTTGTTTCTACTAGGATTGTTTGGGACACAGGAAACACAACTTTTTTTCTTAGGTCTTATGAGTAGGTGGGGAGCAAGGTCAGCTGTGGTTGGCTGGTGTTCAGCTGTGCCAGGCAAATCTTTTACAAATTGCTATTGGGTGTGGATGGAGGGCTTGGCCAAGGTTGGCTGGTGGTTGGTTGGTGTTCGGAAGTATGTCAGCTAGATTTGAATCGTAAAGAAAGGTGGGGCATGGCCTAAATCTGGTCAGACTGCTCCCAAACTGGTGTTCCGTTGGACCAATGTTCCGGGGTAGGGTCAGAGGAATGTTGGACGACTCGGACCATTACTAACTCGGCCCTACTCCTTAGTCAACAAACGACGTTCATCGAAGGCTTACAATTACATACTATTTCTACTAAAGTAATCGGTACAACAGTCACATGATGATGACCATGAAACAAAGTAACAATGTACTTCTATAGTAGTGTGAACAAATGAATCGTTGCTCTTCGGTACACTGAATGACTAGACTTTTTTGGATCCCGTTTTACAGCCAAACAATTCTGAATCAATAGTTTTGTTGTCTAACAAAAAATTGCGGTCTCGGTTAAAGCCATGTTGATTACCCAAGTGCAGGCAGGGTTTGACTTAAAAAACCTCAAAGTCTACAGTTCGAAGTTGTCTAACAAAAAGACGCGGTCTCTATAAAATCATGTCGATTGCCCAAGCACCGGCGGTTTGGGACTTGAAAAAAAATCTCATAGTCAACATGGTTGATTTGGTAGTGGGACAAGTTGACCAGGGCGGTGGGCCGAGTTGACCAGGGCGGTGGGCCGAGTTGACCAAATTTGCGATGGGCCGAGCTGGTAATAGTCCGAGTCGTCCTGATTCCGGGTCAGAGGAATGTGTGAGCGAGGCTTAACTGTACAGAGGGTCAACTGTAATACTGACCTGGGTTCAAAGGTTCGGACCATCTTTTTTGAGGCTGCATCGTACATGTGCAGCTGTGGGGAGGCCCCGCCCGTCACAAACACATCGCCCAGCGGGGAGAAACTGGCCGTCAGAGTCTGTCTGTTCTCATGGATGGTGTGGAGACACAACCCTGAGGACGGGTGCCAGAACTTTATCACACCGTTCGCATCTGTAAAACAACAAACGTGGTCTTCTTAGACAAAAATCATCGAAACAAGACAAGGCAGGGGACAACAAGACAATGGCAAAATTTTCACCCAATTTGCAATGGACAGCCCCATTGACCTAAAGTAATTATAACTAGAAAGGCCAATATTTGCTTTGGAGCAAATACAGCGATGGGTTCACCACATTTTACGACATGGCAGGGAAAGAATGGGAAACACAAGGGAAAACAATGATTTACATTGATATAACTATAATATGAAGTAAAATACAACTAAAACAACAGTTGGATAGCTATTCCCTACTTTATTGGTTAGGATTTTTAATTGCATAATGCAAACTGTTGATTTTCAAAATAAAAAAAAAACGTCCATGCCCGGCATTCCAATGCTGGAGCAGGAAAGCTTGAAATACCTACCAAAACACTTGAATACAGACATACTGTCAGAAATGCTTCTGTGCAGGTGTTAATCAAGTTAAATCCCAACAGCCAATCAGCAAGAAGTATAGAGGAAAGCTGCATGCCTATTGGTTGATGCCCTGCATTCCATTGTGATGACTCATGCCCAAACGTGGTAAACAAGGCACACTAACACAGTAATACATTTGCTATAACACAGCCAAAAAACTCAAATAAAACCATTCTAAAAGCCTGTATCACAATAATTTAAAAAACGCCTAGGGGTATTTGCCCACTGTACCTCCATACCAAATTTCAGGACCTTGGGCCCTAAAATGAAGAAGCTGAATCCATTTAAAAAATGGCAGGAGGAGAAGGAGGAGGAGAAGAAGAAGAAACATCAGAAAAAGCAATATGGTTTCACCACACCACTTCGTGGTGTGGTGAACCCATAATGATAAATCAGTAATACTATCAGCAATAGCTTAATGTACATGCTACAGTTCAAATTTTCAATCATTTTTGGAAATCCAGGCTGCATCAAATAGATTATCTGTGTGCGCATTAAACAAACTGAGATAGTGCTTTCCTTGTTATATTAGCCAGTATTCACAGGAGATGTTCATACTTATATGTAGCCAGGAGTAAGTGTTAATACTTACATGTACATGTAGCCATGAGAAGGTGTTCATACTTACATGTAGCCATGAGGTGTTCATACTTACATGTAGCCATGAGAAGGTGTTCATACTTACATGTAGCCATGAGAAGGTGTTCATACTTACATGTATAGCCATGAGAAGGTGTTCAAACTTACATGTAGCCATGAGAAGGTGTTCATACTTACATGTAGCCATGAGGTGTTCATACTTACATGTAGCCATGAGAAGGTGTTCATACTTACATGTAGCCATGAGAAGGTGTTCATACTTACATGTAGCCATGAGAAGGTGTTCATACTTACATGTAGCCATGAGAAGGTGTTCATACTTACATGTAGCCATGAGAAGGTGTTCATACTTACATGTAGCCATGAAGGTGTTCATACTTACATGTAGCCATGAGGTGTTCATACTTACATGTAGCCATGAGGTGTTCATACTTACTTGTAGCCATGAGAAGGTGTTCAAACTTACATGTAGCCATGAGAAGGTGTTCATACTTACATGTAGCCATGAGGTGTTCATACTTACATGTAGCCATGAGAAGGTGTTCATACTTACATGTAGCCATGAGAAGGTGTTCAAACTTACATGTAGCCATGAGAAGGTGTTCATACTTACTTGTAGCCATGAGGTGTTCATACTTACATGTAGCCATGAGAAGGTGTTCATACTTACATGTAGCCATGAGAAGGTGTTCATACTTACATGTAGCCATGAGAAGGTGTTCATACTTACATGTAGCCATGAGAAGGTGTTCATACTTACATGTAGCCATGAGGTGTTCATACTTACATGTAGCCATGTGGTGTTCATACTTACATGTAGCCATGAGAAGGTGTTCAAACTTCTGCCCTTGGTCAGTAGGGAGGAAGGTCAGGCAGGTGCAGGGCAGGTGGGCATCCAGGACTTCCTGGTCAGTCAGGTGGTAAAGGACTGACCCATCATGGGCCTGAAAGATCTGGACAATGAACAACAAGTTCATTAGAAAATAGGGCCTGCTCTATCTATATTACATGTATGTGGAAGGCCCAGACTTTTATTTAACACTTCACACATACATGCCTGTCTATTGTGAACACATACATGCCTGTCTATTGTGAACACATACATGCCTGTCTATTGTGAACACATACATGCCTGTCTATTGTGAACACATACATGCCTGTCTATTGTGAACACATATATGCCTGTCTATTGTGAACACATACATGCCTGTCTATTGTGAACACATACATGCCTGTCTATTGTGAACACATACATGCCTGTCTATTGTGAACACATACATGCGCGCCTGTCTACCGTGAACACATACATGCCTGTCTATTGTGAATACACATGCCTGTCTACTGTGAACAGATTTATGCCTGTCTCTTGTGAACAGATACATGCCTGTTTATTGTGAACACATAGTATATTTTGTACATGCCTGTCTATTGTGAACACATACATGCCTGTCTACTGTGAACACATACATGCCTGAATACTGTGAACACATACATGCCTGTCTACTGTGAACTCATACAAGCCTGTCTACTGTGAACACATACATGCATGTCCATTGTAAACACATCTGCCACATATATATATATAAGGGATGTAAAAATATGTAAAAGCACTGTGATAGACCCTCAAAAAACACAAAATCAGGAATGTCTCCTTTACCTTAATGGCTCCATGTACGAGTCCAGCAGCCACCAATAAACCATCATAGCTGTACTTCACACACAGAACATTCTCATGGCCACAGTCACTGTAACAACAACACAGGTCCATCAGCCTGGCACATGTTACATAAGTTTTAATGGCAGTGTTTGCCTGTGTGTTTGTCTTTCATGACTAATATAACATTACAGCAGGATGAATTTGTTTGAAATTCACATTTGGAGTGATGGTACATATAAGTTGTGACAAAACCTGGGAATGATCAGATTTTGTGCCCCCTGGCAGCTTTTTATGGTACTGCAGCAGAATTTTTGATTTTGATATCTTGTGTACTGGACAATTCCAGTAATTATGATTATCAGGTAGTATGATAGATACCTCTTGTGCTTGGTAAACACTGACAACAGTTGGGCTCCTTAACAGCTTGTTCTGCAAGGGTGTTTTTTGTTAAAATCTTTGAAAGACGCTAACTGAAGAAGGTGTTGACGGACGCTTAACTTAATTAGGTAACAATTATGAAAATCAGGATCTACCTTGAGTTTCATGATTGGACTATTCAAACATGTAACATATCATGTGACTGTGGTGGACAGGGACATCGACATGATGTGATTCATGCAAATGAAAAATAATTTGCTAATTGAGCAAAGAGAAAATACAGTATATATACTATAATCACTTTCCAAAAGTGGTGAAAGGTGTAATTTCACAACTGCAACATTTGGAAGTTAAGTAAAGGTAAACATTTTCATAAATTATGGCAATGAGAACCTCACTTGCATACTAGTAATTTATAAGGAGATGGTAGAATTTGAGATACTAAGTAAGGCTGTTATTGGACAACCTCTATCATAGTTGGACAACACACTTTGATAGAGAGCAGCCATTTTTACATAATCAATGAGAAAAATTTGTAATAAGTTATCAGTTGTAGAGGATAACATCATTTGGTAAAGGTATTAAGTTGTTTTATTTTGCTGGACTCCAAGAAGAATTGAGAATACTGTAAGTTACAGTATCACTAAATGAGATTCTATACGAAGCAAACCAAACTCGAACAATTAACTACACAAATATCAAGCAACAACACAAATTCAATAGCCTCTACCATTTATAAGAAAACATACAAACTGAACGTAAAGAAGGGAAGATTTTGTATCAATCTATAAATCTGGCTTTCCTTTACATTACAGGGTATTCTGGGTGCATATGCACCTTAGTGCAGGTTGGGGCTGTGCAGGTATTTCTGATGTCTACCTGCACCTAACCGGCACTATGCTTATAAGTTATACATGTACAAAATGTAGGTACATTTTAATTTGCTGTATTGACTGTTACCGCCTATAATAAAAAATAATGGCAATGTTTTCTAAATAATTATGATTCATACTTCTTGAAGTTTGAGTAGTTCAGGTAAAATTTGTCTGGTGCAGGTTATTTTCAATGTTACCTGCACCAGTATTTCGAGCCTGCTTTACAACATGTATCTTGGTTGGAGTGCACACAATGTATTGTAAAGAACTCAGTTGTACAATAGAACCTGTGAAGTACCCATTCTCAGTTTGTAACACAAGCCCTGAAGAGTCCTTTTGCCTGATTCTATAGACAGGGTCACACTCAAAACACTTCGGCCAAGGGCCCAGCCTATCCGGAGGTCCAGGGGCATGTTACTCTGAAAAACTGTTTGAGGTGGTTATATTTTTCAGGAGGCGAAAATAGTTTTTTTGGAGTGTTTTAAATTTGCAGTTGAATAGTACAGTAGTAATACGAATGCATCATACTTGTGGTGTGATGAATTTGAGTGTGAGGTCACTGTGAAAACTTTTGCCCAAACCGTGAAAATAAAACCACTGAAAAAGTTTCTGAATCTACAGTACTTCATGTTACCAGAGTGAGGTGCCTTCCACAGCTTTCCACTCATCCCAGCATCTTTAAAACCATCAGTTAAAAGACAAGACACGTCTATTTTGGATTTTTCCAACAGTTGTCATAGCATTAATGAGGGACAAAAATTGGTGCCATTATACATGACAGTATATATAACCATATATGACTGGTGCTGGTAAGATATTGTCCAGTGCAGGTAATTTTCAATGTTACAAGACCAGAGCAGGTGTGCAGAAAAAAGGATTTCGAGCCCTGCAGACAAATATTTTCAGCTGGGAAAAAACAGTGAGCCCTTCAGATGTTTTTGAAACTGAATGAATAGGAAGGTGAATGTTGACATCTGATGACTGTACACACATTGTGTAGAAATTTGACAATGGAGGCAAGGCATGACCAGACTTATCAATTACCCTGCCATGGCTTCTTACATTACACTAGTGCCCTGGTCCTGGGCTGGGCTCCAAGCTGGAAGAATACATTATCTGTAATCTAATCACACCACACACACATTCTCACAGCAAGGCCCTGCCCACCACACCAGCAACCAAGGAAAACACCTCTGGCCTTACACGAAAACAACCTCCCCAAGAGGCTCAAACCTTCACAAACTGACGGAACAAACAACATTAACAAGTCTTTCTGGTAGAAGTCACACAAAAAATGTCTGCATGTAAAGTTTATAGTGTGACCCCTGAATATGCTCAAGCTCTCTACTATATTATAGAACTCACTCACTCACTCACTCACTCACTCACTCACTCACTCACTCACTCACTCACTCACTCACTCACTCACTCACTCACTCACTCACTCACTCACTCACTCACTCACTCACTCACTCACTCACTCACTATCCTGAAAATGAAAATTATTGATATCTCTTCCTTTTACTAAGTTTTAGGTGAAAAGTTCAGGGGGTACTAACTCAGGGGACTAACTCAGAGCCTGGGGGCCTAATTTAGGGGCTAGGGTAAGATTTTCTTTGGGGCATGTTGTCACATAAGAGCAAAGAAGCTGACCTGTGTTGGCCCTATAAAATCTGTCATCCAGGCTAATTATAACAACACAACACAACTCAACACAACACAACTCAACACAACACATTATTACACAACACAACACATCACAACACAACTCGACACAACACATTATTACACAACACAACACATCACAACACAACTCAAGTCAACTCAACACAACACATTATTACATAACACAACACAACACAACATATCACAACTCAACACAACACATTATTACACAACGCAACACATCACAACACAACTCAAGTCAACTCAACACAACACATTATTACATAACACAACACAACACATCACAACTCGACACAACACATTATTACACAACACAACGCAACACAACATATCACAACTCGACACAACACATTATTACACAACACAACACAACACATTATTACACAACGCAACACAACACAACTCAACTCAACACAACACATTATTACATAACACAACGCAACACAACATATCACAACTCGACACAACACATTATTACACAACACAACACATTATTACACAACACAACACAACACATTATTACACAACGCAACACAACACATCACAACTCGACACAACACATTATTACACAACACAACACAACACATTATTACACAACGCAACACAACACATCACAACTCGACACAACACATTATTACACAACACAACGCAACACAACATATCACAACTCGACACAACACATTATTACACAACACAACACAACACATTATTACACAACGCAACACAACACAACTCAACTCAACACAACACATTATTACACAACACAACACAACACAACACATTATTACACAACGCAACACAACACATCACAACTCGACACAACACATTATTACACAACACAACACATTATTACACAACGCAACACACACATCACAACTCGACACAACACATTATTACACAACACAACGCAACACAACATATCACAACTTCGACACAACACATTATTACACAACACAACACAACACATTATTACACAACGCAACACAACACAACTCAACTCAACACAACACATTATTACATAACACAACGCAACACAACATATCACAACTCGACACAACACATTATTACACAACACAACACAACACATTATTACACAACGCAACACAACACAACTCAACTCGACACAACACATTATTACACAACACAACGCAACACAACATATCACAACTCGACACAACACATTATTACATAACACAACACAACACATCACAACTCGACACAACACATTATTACACAACACAACACAACACATTATTACACAACGCAACACAACACATCACAACTCGACACAACACATTATTACACAACACAACGCAACACAACATATCACAACTCGACACAACACATTATTACACAACGCAACACAACACAACTCAACTCAACACAACACATTATTACATAACACAACGCAACACAACATATCACAACTCGACACAACACATTATTACACAACACAACACAACACAACACATTATTACACAACGCAACACAACACATCACAACTCGACACAACACATTATTACACAACACAACACAACACAACACATTATTACACAACGCAACACAACACATCACAACTCGACACAACACATTATTACACAACACAACACATTATTACACAACACAACACAACACATTATTACACAACGCAACACAACACATCACAACTCGACACAACACATTATTACACAACACAACACATTATTACACAACGCAACACATTATTACACAACACAACACATCACACATATCACAACACATCACAACACAAGCCTGATGAATACTGTATTTTTGCCTACAGTTTCTGCAGAATCCTCAGGTTGCCCTCACATGTGGGTTCCGGCCGCTTGTCGTGAGCCTCGGCGTGATCTCCCATCCCGCTCAGCACCGACGCTCGCTTAATGAGTCTGGGAGAGGACTGCGGAGAGTCCCCCGCTAGTGCCTGCAGCAGGTTCAGCATTGTTGTTGGCTGCACCACGTTCTACAGACTCTTCACACTTCAGGGATGGAAACACACCAACCTGCAAGGTGCAGAACACTGTTTGACACTGCAGAACAAAATAGGAATGTAGCTTGTAATTTTGCTAGAGAAATATTAGAATATCAGCTGGAATGAATCACATAATTCAGATCAAAAGGACAGAGGCTATTGACTGGCCGTTAATTAAGAATTTTTTCTACTACTATTGACAGACTTAACCTAGTCATGTCGAGAAGATTTTTTCTTTCCACAGGCTGACCTTAAAACTAACCCTAACCCTGAGAAAGTTGTGTAAACTGGTGAAAAAAAATAAGACTTACTCAAGTTATTGACAATCCTGAGCAAGAATAATGACTATGTAAATTAAAAATAATAATGTAACACTAACAGTTAGTTTAAAAGAAGACAAAGTTGAGCCAGGTCCTTATATTTAATGCCATTGCATAAACCACATGCACTGAGCTACTGAGACATGCTTTCTACCATTTGTATCGATTTGATTTTGAATGGTACATGTACATGTATACCTGCACCGCCTGTTAATAAGGATTTTTTACTCTTAACAGGGCGATCGCCATGATGCCACGGACAGCGAGTACTAGGCAAAAAGTGGATAACAGCTTTGTGATTTGCCTACCAATAACTTGCATATTACATGTATAACAAAATAATTTGAATGTAACAGTTATATGTTGTAAAAAAATAAGCTATTGTTGCAGAAAATAGATTTAAATAGTTTACATTTGCTCCTACGTCTGGTCAGTAGTGACTGTGGGAGCGGACGAAAACTAACCCGGATGGTACCCAGGGTAAGAAAATACTGCAAAGTGTTTTGAGCCCAGTACTTAAGTGTGGTCCCTATCAAAGGCCTCTCCAACATTGGCTGGATCGATATATGGACACAGCAACCCTCCCTTTCTCTCACTCACTCATTCAGTCTCTGTCTCCCTCTCTCTGTCTCTCTCTCACTTGAAATCTCTCTCTTTCTCACACACACACACATACCAAGTGAACACTGGCAAAATCAGACATGAGTTGCTTTCAGCCTCACTATAAGTATAATAGTAAACCACGCTCCTAGCGGCCAACTGACGCCCCCTAAAAAGGGGGAGGGGGTCGATTGGCCCCAGGAACAGGGGGTAGTCTTACAAACTGCCTACTCTAGTATATAACTACATACTAAAAAAGCTGAACTAAGAGATTACTTTGTCTGTGAATGAAACGCTGGGACACTGAGGGAATCTGTTATGCTTGTGACTTTGATATCTCAGCAACTAACAATAACAAAACCTACGTGTTGTCAAAACACAAAAAGTCATACCAGGAGAATTGGTTCAAACCCGGATCTCTTCAAGCGAGGCCGCCGGAAACTCAGAAATCGCCGAAGTGCGAAACTAGGATGGAAGAGCTGGATTTGGAGGACTAGTATGAGGTGTGAGGAGGGCTGGTGTGACGGGAGAACGGTGTCATGACGCCAGGTTGACTGTAGGCAGGTGAGAAACACACCGAGGTCACACAGGTAAGGCTCATGGAAAGGTCACGACCTCAAGTAGACTATGCTATCATCATACCAAGGAGGGGTGGAATCAATAAAAAGGACGCTTTTTCAGTCACCTTTTTGACTGATTTTTTTTGTATGGTTACGACTTTGTTGGACATTGATAATTCATTATTAGTGAAAATGAAAGTGAGAATAGTTGGTAACGTTACCCCTAGATTTCGAGTTGCTGTAGTTTCTCTACCTGGGTACATTTAAGATTGGACCGGTCTAACTAGAACCCTGGGCGCATGCGGCATCTAGCGAGCGCGGAAGACCTACCAGAGGTGGTGAGTTGGCACCAAGTTAGCAAACTTTTCTTTCAAACTTCCGGCCCTGCCTTTCCCCCCTGGAATATGAAGCTGCAGGTCGTCTTGGCGTTTTTCTGTGGATTTCCCCTGTTGGGAGGTGCTAAGAAGAAAAAGGATCTAGAGATCCAGGTTGAGTATAAGCCGGAAGACTGCTCGGTGCAGGCGGCAGTAGGAGACACCGTGTCCGTACACTACACAGGCTACCTGGACACCGGCGCGATCTTCGACACCTCCCGACAGGACGGCAGAGAACCCATCGAGTTCCAGCTCGGGGCCAGGAAGGTGATCCCGGGCTGGGAACAGGGCATCGTCGGCATGTGTGTGGGGGAGAGACGGAAACTCGTCATCCCGCCTCACCTGGCGTATGGGAAGGAGGGCAGGTGTGGTCAGCCTTCATCAACATTTAACGTTACTGACAAGTTATAAATATAATTTAGGAGTACTCTTCAGTTTTATGTAAGCATATATCATTGTCCAGAACATGAGATCATCACCAACTGGAACTGCTGGCAGCCAGAGGAGCCAACTAAGAACATGAGATACAATAACAGGAAGTTCCTCTGCAGTACCTTATTAAGCTGCAAGGTGGCCATGATTTGAAGTTTACCTTCGTTATGTGAAGTCAGACGTACATGTATACACACACAAATGCATGTATGCACACATGCACACACACACATGCACACACACACATGCACACACACACACGCACACACACACACACACACACACACACACACACACACACACACATGCACACACACACATACACATACACACACACACACTTGTACTTGCCTTTTGTGTGAATGGTAGTGAATGTTAAAAACTTTTAAACTTAAGTTCACATGGCAATGAACCTTATCACAATTATCAGTTCATCCATGATCCAACTATCACATGACAATTAGCATATTGACCAATGAGAGAGTGGCCACATGTCAGTCATATATTTGCATTTTTATGTTTTGACTGAAGTATGCAGGACTATGGGAAAGGTTCATTGGAAAACAAGTTCCTCTTGTTTTTGAAAGTAACATATATCTCTTGCATATATCTCTAACAACACTGTGTCCATGCTCTGTTTCAGATCACCAGTTATCCCTCCCCAGGCCACCCTGACCTTTGACACAGAGCTGGTGAACATTGAGAGAGTGTCGTCTGCAGACTCGGTTGTTTCCTTCCTGAGTTTCGCTGCGGCTCCGCTGGCCATCCTGGGGTTTGTCTACTACTTGTACAACAAGGCATCAACTGCTCCCACCAAGAGAGAACTGAAGGAAGAAAAGAAGACCAAGAAGAGGAAATAGGATAAAAAGAAACATAGGATAGAATCTACCTAAAACATCAGTGCCTTGCACCAATTTTTCTGTAACTAGATGATTGGGAATAGATATATTTTTAAGATAGAGGTGGCTTCGGTGTACTTCATAACGTCAAATTTCAAGTAATATTGAAGCAATGCTGTGTTTGAGAATTAGGGCTTACAAACCACCATCATTGATGATACCACATGGAAAGACCAATACAATGATTGAAATACCAAGTAGCTAGTACATGATATGCTGGGACAACTTTGACTTCAAAATCGTCAAGGCAGCTATAATGTGGCATAATGTTACATATAACAGATGCGTATGGAATCATGTATCAACTGTGTAAGCTTATCTTACCTTAAATCTATTTTAGCTCGAGTGATAAGGTTGTATGGGGTCTATTAATTATTATCAGGGTTTTGGGGGTATATGGACTTCGCCTTTGGATCTAATATATTTTCAGTTGTGTTTGTGTCGTTCTGTGTGTCCTGCTGTACACAATAAGTTGAGAATGCATGGGGGGATTGTCATATTTGGTATGTGGGTAGGTGTTTGCAAAAGTATGGTCAAGATTGATTATGGGCGCCGGGGTTCATATGATACTGCATTGGTTTTGTACATTTTGATCCGAAGATGGAAATGGAAAGTAGATATAACAGTTCAATGAGAATTGAAGGAAATATCTGTGATGGAGGTTTATCATATATGCAGACGAACATTTCCAGATAGGAATTATGGTTACCATGATTAATTTGCATTATTCATGAATCATGAATAAAAGCTGTCTGAATATTCTGATGGAGCAACAAGTGATGCTTCCCTGTACTGAGAAAATTGGATTCTGGCAAACTGAAATGCGACTAATTGCAGTCCTAAATACAGACATTATTGAATACATATTACTTGTCACTCTGTAACACCTGCACAGAGTTGACCGGGGAAGTGTACATTTTCCTGGCAGCTATTTCAGATTGTGACCTTACTTGTACATAGTGCAGGAGGCATAACTCAAATTTTAGGGTATGAAGGGTGAAGCCTTTTGTCAATGTCCACCAAAACACATTTTTTTACAGGCAGGTTTGAAATACCCGCACTTACCTGACAAGTCATATTTTCTGTGTAATATTTGTCAAAGACTGGAACGCTAGGAGTGATGGGTCAAAGGTCTGAAGTCGATATCGCCCCCCGTCCTGGTTGAGCGATGGTTGAAATGCCCTGATGTATATGGCCTCTTTTATGCCTCTCTTGAAGTAATCCTGTTCGGTATCCAAGATTCTGACACCCTCCAGATCCACTGTGTGTCCCGGTGATTCTATGTGGATGTGCTGACGTCACACGTGGAAAAAATCACGTGTCCAGAGCATTTGGGTCAGATAGCTGAGGAAGACTCAGTGATTCAGTCGAAAATTCCGGTGAGTCTAATTTATGAGGTGGAGAACATTTTCCATAATGTAATTTACCAACTCCGATGAACTTTCATTCTAGCCTGAAATTTTGATGGCAACCTAGATTTTGGCTTAAAAAAGTAAATGAACACCAGTAACAGCTGCCTCTGGTCCGCGTGTATTGCACTGTTGCAATTCCAACAAATCAAATCAAACCAATCAAATCAACAAGATGTTAGTTTTTTTCTTCAATTTTACCCCATAGTGTAGTACTAGTGAGAGGTGGTGTCCCATCATGCACTGCTCCCCCCGACCCCACCCCGAGGGAAGACTGATCATCAATGTTAAAATTCCCAACTACGCGTGGCGATCAGCTCCCCACTAGTGAGGAGCACGACTGGCATGATCAGGTGTGTATTTTTGGCCAAATACTCATTATAAAGTACATATAATAGCCGCTCTTTCATCATGAAAAAGCCTGAATCTTCACATCATTTTCGGTTTTCTAAATGTACAATGTACCTAATACAACCGGATTATATTTCAACTATATCGAATGCCAGTGTTTTTAGATTGTGCCAAGTGCATTATATAGTTTTGTAACGATTTGTGCGGTAAACATATAATTCAATGCTGAACTTGTATATTGTTATATATAGATTTCACACAAACACACATACACAGTACACAAACACACACATATATAGTACACAGACACACGCACGCACACACGCACGCACGCACACACGCACACACACGCATACATTACACAAAAACACACGAATATGATATCAACCAACCATGCATATTCTGACAATGAACACAGTTATGAAAACAGTCATATTTAACTACAAGCATTTAAGTATATTCTGGAATAAGCAAAGTAAATACAAAACTTAACCTTTTAAAAATATCTCCAGTCTCAATGATGAACGGCAGATCGAACAGTGTGAGCAAGTATAACATTAGTACATTAGTAAAAGACTCATTTATCAGCGTTTGGTTTTGCATCCTATTATTTCGGGTATAGTAACATCATCAACATATGAGCAATATATTGCTTTACAGATCGTCCGATGTATGATCTTTTTACATATGCATCAGTTACATCTTCATGAGTCTCCCATTCTTCGTGCTTATGTCAGATCACGTGTTGGTAGATGCTGCTAAAGCGTGCTGTTATCACATCAACAACAAAGTTTTTCCATTCATCAAAATACATTAGCCCTTTATATTCATACAAAGGTAGCATAACGTTTCAAATCTGCCGACATCACTTGGTACAGTTGGTGGTCATAAGTTACAAGCTGTGTAACTCTTTTGGTCTTTATACAAAATCTGTGTCGTACACATATTATATAGGTGTTATATGAGGTCTTCATTCAGTTCACCAGTAACATGCCCTTTTTTAGGTATTAACTACCATTCAATAACAACAGGATCTGCTGAAGATGATTCCATAGACATTTTCTTCGTCTGAAGTGTAAGACATTTACGTGTACCTTTATATGACGTGTGCCTTTATATGACAGTCAGAGTGCAGTACAGACACCAAATGGTCTCTCCAACTGGTTCTGGGTAAGATCTGGAGTGAGGCAGGGATGTGTCCTCTCCCCTCTACTCTTCATAGTCTACATGGACAGAATCACACAGGAGGCTAACCCTGACCCAGTATCCCTGAATGAGTTGCTCTTTGCCGACGACCAAGGTCTCCTCAATGAAAGCAAGGCCCAGCTCCAACATCACACAGACAATCTAAACAGAGCCTGCAGATCCCATGACATGAAGATCAGCATTGGGAAGACAGAGGCAATGTCAGTTGGCCGCTGCCCGGAGAAACTGGAGATCACTGTCAATGGACAACCTCTGAAGCAGACCACAGAGTTCAAATACTTGGGAAGCATATTTACTGAAGACGGAAAGATGGACAGAGAGATAGAGACAAGGATACAGAAAGCAAATTCCGTCAGCTACCAACTGGCACCTCTCCTAAAGCACCCAAGTTTGTCCATGGACATCAAAGCCAAACTGATAAACACCATCTTCGTACCCACCCTTACTTACCAATGCCAAACCTGGACTCTCAGCAAAACACAGGAGAGGAAACTCACTAGCTGCGAGATGAGGTGTCTGAGAAGAGCAGCAGGGAAGACAAGGAGGGACAGGGTCAGAAACGACGTCATCAGACAGTTGGTTGGCAACAAACCAGTCCTCCAGTTCATTGCCAAACAAAGGGTTCAGTGGTTTGGCCACCTGATGAGAATGCCGACCACCCAGCCAGCCCTAAGGGCCTACACTGCCAGGCACTCAGGAGTAAGGGCCAGAGGGAGACCGCGCCGCCGATGGATAGATGGAGTAGCGGAGACCCTCAGGGCACACGGCATGACACTCCGGGAGGCCACGCACCTGGCAGTGGAACGTCAACTACATCTCCCCGCGACGCCCCCCCAGGCACAAGCGGAAGGATAAAGTAGTAAAGTAAGTTATATGACTGGGGTCTAATATTCACTTACCGTTACCTATGGATATATAAGTAAATAAATGCTCAAAAAAGAAATTAAATTCTTACGTGGGTCACATTGATGAACATCAGATGGTACACACGTTAAAAGGCAGATAGTGAACAAACATTCTGTCTCTTAACTAAGATAGACATGCCAGCGGTCTTAATGTTATCATCTTAAATCTCGAATTCTTCTCTATCGTGCCATTAATGTTGCATTTTCTTCCTGTTCAAGTGTTTCATACCGAGGGTGTTGACATACAGACATTGTTGTTTCCAGTTGACTTTAACAAGCCAAAATACTCTCCACATGTTCTTATCACTTTATAGCAATTGAACAGAAGAAACTGAACATCAGCTGTTATCAGTGTGATGTCATCAATGTTGCATGGTCAAGTGGTTTTTAACTGCAATCTTCTAAATGCTGACAGGTTGATGCTGTTCACCTGTTCTTCAATTTCTGTCAGTGCTTTTTTTTGGTAAGTGATTACCAAATTTATGGTGTTAAGTGCAGTTTCCAATGACTTGACAGTGCAGACCCTAACTTTCTTAGAATAATTTTCCAATCTTTCTTACAATCCTAAAATGATCTAAGAAAATATAAAACGTAACGTTTTTATGATATCTCCAGTCTCCAATGACGAACGGCAGATCGAACAGCGTTGGCAAATACTTTATTGTTACAAACTTTTTGTTACCAGCGTTGGTTTTGTATCATATGCTTTCGGGTACAGTAACAGCATCATAAAGTATTGTTTTCAGATCTTACGATTTGTGGTCTTTTTTCATAGGTTGTATCATAGTAAATCTATCGATGCTTGTTCATGCTCATTAGATCAAGTGATGGTAAATGTTGTTAAATATTTTGTCTTGAAATCATGTCATGTTTTCTTGAAATAAAATGGTAAAAGGTATGTCTTTAATAAATCGATTATCCAGCATATTCAGGTAAAAGCCAACATGATGTTTCATATCTGCCGACATCACAGAAGTACAGTTGATGATCTTTAAGTTGTGTAAATTTCGTAGACTCGATCTTGGTACAAATTTCATTTCTTACACACAGGTGTTACATATCGTCTTTTTTTGAAGATGTTAACTACGAT